TCTCTCTTTTGTTCTTCCCTTCATTCATTCTTCATTTTCCTTGTCACATATTCTTTCTCTAACTTGTTTGTTTTTCCTTCCTAATCCTTCATTCATTGTATTTTTCTTCCTCCTGCCTCGTCTCTTTGCCTTTCTTTCACTCCTCAGTTATCTCGCGGCTCTCTCTTTGCATTCGTTCAGCTTAAGAGGAAACAGCTGTGCGAGGGGCTCAGACATGCGATCCTCAGCCTCCCTTACGGTCGAACGGTATGTCCCCGCACAGCTGGGAGGAGAGGGGGGCATTTCGTGCCGCCGGGCCCGTCTGTCTGAAGGGTCACACACGGCTGAGGGCGGGAGGTTCGGGGACATACGTGCAGACCGGCAGCAGTCTGCAGGCAGAGCTACGTGCACTGGAACACCAGCAGGAGCTGTAACGTTCCTGATGTGGGAACAATACACCCTCTCCTGCCGCGGTGGATTTCAGGGCCAAACAGAATTGGAAAAATCATCTCAGAGGGGAGCTGTGAGAGCCTCAAAGCAGAGACTCGCCCAGAAGCCGATCGGAACACAGTCGTATGTCGGGAGTTTTTTGCTCGATGACTTGTCTGATTGTACATTTAAACTCCTCTTCAGCTGTCTGAGTCAGTCAGTGATTCATTTTAAATGCCTGCCAGGAGAATCTGTTGGGTGTGTATAACAGGCAGAAAAGAATGTTGTTTGGCCCCTGAACAAGTGGTAAAGTCTGTCTCCAGTTTGACTTAAACTTAACTGACCTTTTATTTGTTTTTTTTACTGGGAACACGGGGTGTTGGATGCCTTTTGGGCAATACTGACAGGAATGAACTCAAGACTTTGAATGGGATCGTGCAGATGTGGAAAATGAATGTATCAGATGGCTCAACTCAAAATGTAGCATGTTCAAACTCCTCAGAAGATGGATTTTACTGTTTATCTTGTGGCCAACATCTGATGCCCTAACAGTCACCGTACAAATCATAATGGCATCTTCACCAACATGAGAAAAATGACTTGCTTCCTGACCACGAATAGCTTGTTTCTTGTAACTGAATTATAACTAAATTGCTTGTAACTGAATTAGAATCAAGAGGGCATGAATGGTTGTGTATTAAACCTGTGGAAAACCACTTCCTTGATTCTGTAACCTTAAATCTGATGCGCAAACAAGAGCCAAACCTGTTTTCTGTTGGTTTAGAGGCAGCTTGTAAAATCCCTCTATGACTTAACATGTCCCTCAAAGAAAGGAGTGAGATACTTTATAACATCAAACATACAGTAGTCTTGACGATCAAAAGAAATGACAACCAACAGATATCAGCTTTTTAATTTTTTTTATTAACTACATGTTAGTCAGACCATCAGCTGCAACAGAAAGAAACAGCTGTTAAGGAGGAAAATTCCACAACCATGGCATGCCAACATGAAAAGTATGTGTTTCAGTGTTTTTGCAGTCAGGACACCACATGTGTGGTGTCTGGGAGCGTGTGTGTGTGCGTGTGTGTGTGTGACTTGTAGGGTTTTGTTGTCAGGAGTGAGTAAAAAGCCCTGAGGGTTAACCTTTCCCCTACTTCTCACAGCGACTCCTCTGTCTGAACACACTCCTGCATTCCTCTTCCCCATAATGGCTTCTGCTTCTCTCGGGGATAAAACCCTCTGGCTTCAACTATCTCCGTTTTCACTTGAGAGGTCAAAAGCTTCAGTCATTAGCGATTGCCCTTATCAGCGAACTGTGGATGTAAATTTAGGACATTTTAAGGATAAGAAACAAGCCGTGGATGGCTGTATGCGTCAGTCTGGATAAAAGAAATAAACAAATAAGGCCTGCTGATGCGGGCCAAAGAGCATAGAAAAAAATAACTGAAGTCTCTGATGATGCTTTCATCAAAAATATTAATCACTTGGAGAAAAAAAACTTTTTCATGCAATGCCATTTAATACTTGAGGTCAAACATCCCAAATATCGAGATTTCCCTGCATTTTTTGGAGCTACATAGTGTCAAATGCAATATCTGTGGGGTTGATTTTTTTGTGGCACAGCAAAAAAGTAAATGTCTTTATCATGTATTAGAACAGTGGCTATTCTATATTTTAGTTTCTGGGAAAAGATCATTTCATAAAAAATACAAAAAACACAATCAATTTCCGACATTACAAAGTGTTTAACTGGAAATTTAAATCTGTCATTGCATCACGGTCCCAGATCTCACTATAAAAAGCTTTCCCCGCCCCTGCCTCCCCGGTCTCCCCCCCCCCCCCCACCGCCACCACCGCCTTCAAACAGCCAATCAGAGGCCCTCTCTGCTGCGGCACTGCGCTATAAAACCCTCACAGTGCCATTCAGTAGCACAGAACACACAGAGAGACTCAAGGAACTCTTCTTTTAGAACAAGCCAAAGATACAAGGATGAAGACGCCTCAGCTCCTCATCCTCATCTTGAGCATTTTGGTGCATGCGGGAACGTGCTTCCCCGCAGAGAGAGGCAGGCGGGAAAAGCACGCCTCCTGGGACGACGTGAACGTGGTGGCCCACGGCCTCCTGCAGCTGGGGCAGGGCCTGAAGGAGCACGTGGACAAGACCAAAGCCCAGATGAGGGACGTGAGCGGCAAGCTGAAGGCCCTCAACGGCACGCTGGCCGAGCTGGACAGGAGGCAGCAGGAGGAGAGCGGAGCCCTGAAGGCCCAGATCAAGCAGGCGGAGGAAAAGGACAAGCTGCTCTCAGAGCTGGCGGAGGAGGTGAAGACAAACGTGGGGGAGGTGAAAAGGCAGACGGAGGACATCTCCTCCAGGATGGACAGGCTGGAGGAGGTGCTGACCGGACCGGCGCTGGACAGTAACGACAGCGATCACACCGGACTCTCGTTCATTCAAGTGAGTTCCTGTTTTATTAGGGTTCTCCATAACCAGATCTTGACATCTGGAGCATTTCAAAAAGTAAAGAAAAGGATAAATAAGTCCCACTGGATCTGTAGATCTTCCTCACTTCTGTAAAACTGATTCCTAATCGTTTTTTTTCTTCCTCCTGCTACTTTCAGAAGCTGATGGCAGCTCAGAACAGGCGAATCGACCATCTGGTGGAGAAAATCCAGCAGCAGCAAGATAAGCTGGAGAAACAGAGCGTGCACCTACAAGCCCTGCACACCAAGGTGAATATACCAGAAAATAACAGCCGCAACCACAAAACGGCTTGCAGAGAGATGCGATTGTTTGCGTTTTACTGGAAAGTGGTTTAATCTTTCGATTCTATTCTCTGCAGGTTTCACATAAAAGAGTGAAATCACACAAACGGAGAGATGAAGAAAATGCACTGAGCGACGGGGTTAAGCACATCCAAACTGAACCAGGTAACCTTTCCTCTTTAAGAACCTACCAAAAATAACTGGGAATAACCTTAACTGAATAATAGTTTTTAACAAGCCGACTGCCAGAATAGTTCATCTGAAAACTTAAAATACAAAACTAATAGGAAAGAAATCAATTGAAATCTACCAACAAATGGCTTTTGTTCACTACCATATGTGCGTGCACACACATACAAAAACTAGATGGGTCACAAAAGTGACACACAAGCAAATCAGTTCACCTTTGCTCCAGGCTATGTAATTTTTGACATGCTGACAGAGCTGTTCAAATACAGTCCAAAGATCATAAGAAATGAGGACAAGCTTTGAAAACACACCCTTTGTACAGTATTCTTTAAAAAAAAAAAAAAAAGTCTTGTATCAATAGGCTGCAGGTCCCGGAGTCTTATTGAGTTTTCTTTGTCTTGTTGTGTCCAGGTTTGAACAGAGACTGTCACGATCTGTTTGTGAGAGGGCACCGAGCAACAGGCATCTACACCATCCAGCCTGAGAACTCGCAGCCCTTCGAGGTCCTCTGTGAAATGACATCTGGTGAGTGGAATAGCATTTTTGATCAGTGCCTTTATAAACCGCCTGACTGAGGCTTCCTCGGTCTGGAAAAGCAGCTCGTCCTTAATTTGACCGTTCGCTGTGCTCCCCGTGCAGATGGCGGATGGACAGTCATCCAAAAACGTCAGGATGGATCCCAAAACTTCAACCAGTTCTGGGACGCCTACAAGACAGGCTTCGGCAGCCTTAATGGTGAGACGAAGCCTCCATCTGAAAGAAAGACTATTTAGTAGCATTTATTTACTGTCAGAAAATTAATCGTTCTTTTTTTTTTTTTAACTCTCAGGGGAGTTTTGGTTGGGTTTGGACAACATCCACTCCCTTTCCGAACAAGGCCGGTACGTCCTGCACGTCGAGCTCTCGGATGAATCCGGAAAGCAGCAGGACGCCGTTTACAAATTCCAACTCGATGGAGAGGAGAAGAAGTTTGCCCTTCATCTTGATGAGGAGTCCGGGGATCAGGAGAAAATGCTTTCCACCGGAGATTCCGGCCTTCCCTTCTCCACAGCCGACAGCGACAACGACCTGGCTGTAGACGTCAACTGTGCCGAGCTGCTCTCAGGTTTGTAGACTCCTCTATAACCCAAACTCAGCGGCCAAATTGACCCAAATCACGCCATAAACCTGATATATATGAGTTTTTTACATTTAAATCGAGTGGCTGTTTCTGTACTGACGTGCTCCTTTTTGTTTGCAGGTGGTTGGTGGTTCAGCGGCTGTGGTCAGTCAAACCTGAATGGAAAATACCCCAGAAAGCCTTGGCAGCGCCAGGGCCGGCACTCCAGAAGACAGACAATGTTTTGGACCGCCAGCAGCGGACAGGGAAGCTCGCTAAAGTCTGCGCTTCTCAAAATCGCACCAGCGTCGATAAACCAATAAGCCCCAGAGGAAACCTTTAAACTCTTGACGCCGAACTACTGATGAACTTAAAACAGGAGCTGCAAGGTGCTCTACTGGTCTCCTGATGCACTGATGACTGGATAATTATATGCAATGCATATGACAACTCAATGTCCAAGCGGACATCTTCTGTCACATTGACTGCGATATCATACCCTTTATGAGGGTTTTTATGATGTAATTACTTTAATAATGTACAGTTTTTTACTTTACATTTGATCTCAACTTGAAACATTTGTATGGAGTGGTTGAAATAAAGCCATTAAATTATAAAAGAAACACCGGTTCTGTGTTTTCTTTGTAGGAGTAACAGCATTATCTTCAGTCTTACCCAATATTTGATGATGATGAGAAAATATATTGCAGATTTAACATTTGTATCAGTTTCACTGTATGCTTCAGTAAGATGAGGCCTTTAAACCATGAGATGTTAAAGCACAATAGGCTTTAAATCTCGAGCCTCTTGGTGGAGAAAATAGTCTAAACTAAAATTTGTGGCTCTGCAGCCAGATTCTTTTTACAAATGTGAAACCAAACAAACCCTGTAAAATAAAAGGGAATGTAGTGAGAAAATAAATAAGTTGGCGACAAAAATTACATTTAAATTTCTTAACTTTAAAAAGCATAAATCGTACGCAGCTCAATGGGAGCTTTTCTGTGTGAATCATCAGTCACCTGTGACCCAAAATGTCCAGTTACAGTATCACTTTTGCTTTAAGGTAAAGGGGGAATGCGTGTGTCACCACCTATGATGAGGAGGCATGGTTTCTGCAGAGGGGAGCCAATAGTTTGGTTTCAATATCGATGAGCTAAACGAATGACACCGTTGTAATCATTTGCTCATTAGAAACTTGATTTGTGTCTGACAGTACAACTTTAATCCTGTTTTCTCTGTGCGGTTAGACTAAAGCACACATTAAAAAAACCCTCACACAAACTATTACTGTCTGAACTTTTCCCACTCCATCGTCACTGAAATCTTAAAATCAATATAAATAAATTACCTTGAAACAAGACTTTAAAAAAGATTGTTCACTCCATTTTATTTCTTCTAGGTCAGAGTACATTTACATGTACAGTTCGTGGCAGCTCATCTTACAGATGCTCATCAGACGGTAACAAGGCATTTTATTGTCATGAATCCTGTGACAGATTCCCTGATTTATATTCATATGAGAGCAGGTGCTCTTAAACTCTAGCAAGGCACCTCAGACCGCCAACAATTCTGTTAATCATCATCTTATAGGTCAGCTTGTTGGCACCAAGGCAAACATGTGCTGTGCAAAAGTCCTCAGCAGCAGAAAAACAAGAGAAGCTCCTCTGAAAGTTAAAGCGAACGACCGAGAGAGAAACAGCAACAGGTCGCTACATGCTCCCACCATCTATGAATGCTCAGGAACGCCCAAAAGATTGTTGTTTTTTTCCGCATAAGTTTACCCAATAAAATGCTGCATGAATCGCTATAGCCTCATATAAAACAATCTGTGACAGCACAGGAGACAAACGTCGACATAAAAACACGGCAAAGTGTTAAAGAGTTGCACACATGCTCTGAAAGAGCTTTACATCAGCTAACTTCACACCAGTGTGTATCTGCAAAGAGAACAGAGATATATTTGCCACTTGGATTGCATAAAAAAAAAAAAAAAGAGCTGCTAAAAAGGAATGGCACCAAAAAGAAAAGAACGTTAACTCATAAATGCAGAGAAGGTCCACACATATTTCCCTCCTGTCCTGTTTCAGGAACCATAATTTTATTTAACAATTTTGTAAGTTATTCCTTTTAAGAACCATCAAGACTGCCCCAGAGAGCGGGTTCATTTTAGGTGAACGGCGCCCTCTTCTGGCTCTGGGCTTTAATCCATGAGTCTTCACTATCAAACAGAATGGCATTCAAATGTTGACATGACTTTCTCTAGTGAAAACTGAGGTGGTAAAGTTTGGTGTAGCTTTCTTTCAACAGATTAAAATAAGAATAACAATAATAATAATAATTGAGCGACACCAGAGTTGATGGCAGGTTTGGATAACTGGTGGAATGTGGAAAAAGGAGATAAGGAGAGGAGGGTAGGGAGTGAGGAGAGGAAGGTCAGACAGTGGAGAAGCGCATCAGAGGTTCTGCTGGAGGAAGTGCAGCAGCATAATCTCATAATGCTCTCCAGACTCCGGACACCTGATGCTGTGGCGCTCGTTGGGATAAACCTGGAACGGGATGGAAAACACCAGCACAAACAAATGGGGATCAGCGGAATTCTAGTAAGTTACAGCCACCAACCCACCCACCCCTAAAACCCTTTATCTCAGTCTTAACTGTCCACGCCAATCAGCAAACCATCGTACCTGCAGGCTGTATGGTTTTCCTGCTCGGATGAGCTGAGAGACCAGGAAGTTGGTGTGGAAAAAGTGCACATTCTCGTCTAGAAATCCATGCAGGATGAGCAATCTGTTGGGTCTGGGCGGAGCACAAAGATACACTTTTAGTTCAAATAGTCACATTTAAAAACACGTTCTTATGAGAAGCAAATTATTCTTTATTCAAAGTACACACAGCGGTTGGTCAAGAGAAAGGAAACTATTCTAATGCTGTATGTTGTGTTCCTATATGGGATTGCAAACTCTAAGGAACAAAATTTTGCTCTGCGAGACGTTGTCAGAAATTCTTTTCAAATGGGTGTGTTGTGATCAATTTATGTCAGATGTCAATGACCCGGTTTATTCTTTGGAAGTACAAATAGCTGATAGCTCGTATGAGTAAAATATTTGCTTAACTGGAACTTATTTGTGGGGTCTGATGTTTCACCCATTCAAATAACATTTACAGAAAGATTCTATTCCAATACTGAAAGGAGTAAAACCCGTTCAAAGGTTGAAACGCAGCTCACTCATTGGGGAGTTTGTCGACATGCAGGGCGACAGAACACTCTTCATATCCCTTGGGGTTTTTGTCGGGTGTGTCCAAATAGCGCTCTGTGTAGCCGGTGTCATAGGCCATCCACAGTGTCACAGGAGCGCCTGCGATGGCGACCTAATGAAGAGACAGGAAGTTAAGGACAGAGCTCCATGTTAGCCTGTTCTTTTTTTTCTAAACAGTTTAAATAGAAATACAGGTTTAAAAAAAATGTATACATATACATTTTCTCTTTTTCTCAACCTCAGATTCTGCTTTTGTTCTGCTGCAAATTGGGAAGCTGACATGTTGCCATTATATGGTTATATAGTTAACTGACTGTCAATGTTCGACATTTGTAAATAATTTAAATGCAGACAATAACTCCACGATAATTGCTAATTTCTTTCTTGCTTTTGTAGAAGTTCTCTTTCCAAACTTATCGATGAATGCATCGCCCTTCTGTCACTGCTAGCAGCAAAAAAACATGCGTGACATATTTTCCACGTAACACGTCTTCATGTCAACCACCAAAAACTTAAAACAAAGAGGAACAGAGCAGTAATCCAACTGTTATGGAGCCAATACATAACAGAAGAATAGAGACGGGACTTCTCAGGGTTGTTGTGAACCTGCCAACTGCAGTTACATTCTGTGGTGCCTGTTTTAACACCTTAGGCTGTTCAACACATGACTTGTGACGAGACGGGGCCTGAAAGCAGTTTGATCAGGAGTTTGTCAGCTGTCCGTGGTCCAACTTAAGAGTGTATGAATTTGGATTTATTAATTTGCTGTAGCCTCTGTTTTTGTACTATATGTCACAGAATGATTTACATCAGGGTTAAACACAACATAGAAAATAAGTAAATAAGGCATAAACCATATCAGTATTTTCAAAGAGCCCTCAGCTTTTGCAGAATACAGGAACTGCAAAAAAAAAAAAAAAAAAAAAACCCAGAAAACCTGAAAAAGAGAGTAGAGTTATGACCTTGAATATGTCTGGTTTGTGGATCAGTCCCATGAGGGACAGGAAGCCTCCGTACGACCAGCCGTGGATGGCAACGCGGCTCAGGTCCACAAACTTATACTTGTCGGATATGTAGTGCAAACCCTCCACCTGGTCTTCAATCTCCACCTGACCCTGATGGAGAGGAGCAGATGTTCCACATAGTTACCATCACGGAATCATATCAAGACTCAGAGTGTGTGCATGGGGCAGGCTCCTGTTCAGAGCAGCATTGTAGATCTCTGTGTGTCTGTGCCTCTCCCTGCTCTTTAGAGATGGACACTCAAAGTCGCATTTACCATCTTGTCTTTCACAGCTCCCTCAAACTTGAGTCCTCTCTGGCAGGAGCCCCGCCCATCGATAACCAGCACGACATAGCCAAGAGACGCCAGAGTGCTCAGCCGCAGGTACTTCACTCCTTTGTAAGAGTTATTTACTAGTTGCACCTGAAAGAATACAACATGCATGTATAAATGTCAGTGACTCATTTTTCTAGCTTTATTTAACAGCAGGGAAACATTAGACTTGTCCCACTGAATAGCTGTCACAATAGTTAAATAGAGTCCAAACCTGAGGACCCCCGTAGACAAAGACAACAGTGGGATGTTTCCTGCCGGGAACCAGGTTTAGGGGTTTGTACAGCATGCCGTACAGCTCAAAGCCCGACTTCCCCGTGAAGCTGAAGATTTCTGGTGGGCAGGCGTCGCAATGGTAAGCTGAACAAAGACAGAAAACAACCTTAACTCAATATTATTCTGATCAAGCCTACGCCTTAAACCTTAAAGTCCTATGAGGACTCTGCTTAAAAAGGTGCAGGGATGTTTGAAATTCAGACAATGAAGGTTCAAATGTGGACAAAAAAAAAAGTCCCCACCAGAAGATTCCATCATGCTGGCCCAGAACTCGGGCTCCTTGTGCAGGGGGTCGCTGTCGGAGCCCGTCAGCTTGTAGATGTGAACGCAAGGAGCGGTGGTCAAGCTGCTGTAGTGGGTGATGAACATGTCAAATGTCTGTGTGAGAGAGAAGAGCCAGGTCAGCGTTAATGAGCACGCACAACATTTTAGCGTCCGATTCCACAAAGAAAAACAAAAGCGAAATAACTGAAAAGAGCCGAGGGCATGAGGTTAATAAAACTAACATCACTTCAATAAACAGCCCTGAAACGCTTTAACTGCCAACTACAACAGGCAGGAAACTGGGATATCTCCCTCTTTCTTGATTCTGCTGCGACAGACAGAGTGGAGCGCATCGAGGGGCGCTGGCTTACCTGGCTCACAGAGCAGCTGTGGGAGAAACCCGGTTTGGTGAGTCTGACGATTTCCCCCGGCACCTCGTAGCTCACCACGTACAGGTGGTGCTCCAGAGGAGAGTCTTTGGTTCCTTGGAAGTAAACCAGCTTTGCTGCTTCGTCCACCCAAATCTGAGGGCTGCACGAGCGCTGCACAAAGACATAAAGACACAAATGGAACACGGTTCACATCAGCACCACACATAGAAATGCGTCGTAGCAAGCATGAAACAGTTCAAATGCCATTTGACAAAAACATTGCAGTCCCGGGCATTGGCTGTAAACGCCCAGCAGATGTGTGTACGCAGGGCTTACTTTAGCTCCATGATTAGCCAGCACCTCCCACTCTCCACTGGTCACCGTCACTTCCTCTTTCACTGGACACTTGAAATCATCTGATGGCAGAGCAACACAAAGAGGAGCAGAAGGACCAAAACAGCCAGCAAATTAGAAACTACACTAGTGTGTTTAAAGACAAAGGACAACAAATATGGATGGCGCAAAAAGAACAGCTGGCAAGTCAAAGAAATGTTGAGTAAAAGAGGAGAATTCCATTTTAACAGTGACTGAGGTAAAGGTAAGGTTCTGAGTGAATGTGCGACACCAGCCTGGGGTGTTACCTTCAGAGTGTGTGTAGCCTGACGCCCAGTGAAAGCTGCCCCGCTGCAGCACTGAGGTGATCTTGTACAAGTGACAGAAGCCTGTTTTGGACTCATTCACTGTGATGAAGGTGATCTCATCATCACTGGTTTGGATGAAAGGATGGAAGATGTCATGGACCTGTGGTAAAAAAATAAATAAACAAAAAAAAAGAGAAAGAGAAGATTTGTTTCTGTGCTCGTTTCGAGAAAAATCACAGTCCTGAGATAAAATAAAATAAACAGCTGAAAAGAAGCCAGAGAAACTTGCTGTTGGACCTCACATTGATCCAGATATCGCTATTCTCTTGGTAGATGATGAAGGGATGGACTGTGTCTCCCAAGGCCTCCAGGCTCTCCTGCCTTTCGGCCTGGTCCTGATGTGCGGGGATGAAGAGCGCGGGAGGTAGCAGGACGAGCTGGAGATGCTGCTGCCGCCGGTCCATCATGACCGCCCACGCACTGACGCATACAGAGGGGAAGAGCTGAGATGGGCGGGAAGCTTTACTGCCGCCGTCTTATCTAATCCTGGGTAGTCGGACCTAAACACAGGTTTTGTGTGTCCCCACCCTCACCCTCATTCTTCGATGAGAAACTTACTACTGGCCGTCTCTCGTCCATCCGGCTCTGGTGATGTACTCGACGTCTGGAAACAGGCTGGTGAAAGGAGCAGGCAGCTCTTTCTCTTGTGTGCTGACAATCTGACAGAGGACAACACCGGGCAGAGTTAAGAACAGAACAGAACGAATGCCCCCCTGTGTTGTGTAATAACGACAACTCACGTTTCCAAGACTGTCTGTCCTTATTTCTGCTATCTTGAGAGTGATATCGGGATTTTTGCTGCCTGGAAATAAAGGTTTTTCAGGATTAGGTCTAATATTGGGAGCGAGACTTGACAAAATCTCCTCCGCCTCTGAGCTGACAAGCCGTTTTGGACAGCCGTGGCTGGCTCTGCGCTGCAGATGGCAGCTGAGCGTTCGGGGTCCTCCTAATGTCTGTGTCTTCATACCTGCTCGTGGATACCTGTAGATGTCCGTCTTACGCTCCTCCAGAGCAGGCGAGGGGACATGGATGATTTCCACCTCAGACTCGTCCACCTCTTCATACAGAATTTGCAGAGTCTTACCACCATCTGGATCTAATACGATGACGACAGAGGCAGTTATCATAAAGTCTTTTCCATGTTGGACCACATTTGAAAAGTTTGCCAAACAATAGGAAATCTGCGAAAATTCCGGGGGGAGAAAAAAACGTAATAGCTGTAAATAAAAAGCGGATCTCACTTTCACAAGAAGCTGGAGACCACCAGTATCCAGAGAAGCGATCGAATTCTTCTTGAGTGACAAAAGTGGCCACTCCAGCAGACTTAGTGTCTTCCTTTGGGTTATCAATACCTACGAACCAACAAAAATATGACCAAAAAAAAAAAATGTTGACATGAAATTCTGGCCTAAGCTGCAGGTGGAGTGTGGGCGTGATTCAGTCCTGACCTTTATGGCAGAAGGTGAGTCTCTTCTCCTCTCCTGTCTCTATATTTGTCACCCAAATGTCATTATTGTTGATGAAACCGATGAAGTTTGGGTCCCCGGGGCAGACCTTGGGGTCCATACGTGTGCCTGAATTCTGGCTTTTGATTTCTGTCGGATTCATTGGCGAAGTCTGCAGGGAAATGAAGAAAGCAATGACGGATCAAAACATCCAAAGGGGTCAATTTTACTCCCGTCTAACATTTGCCTCAAACAGGAGCTGACTCAAATCCAATACGAGCCTCATCTATTTCCCAAACATGATTAAGGCGCAGCCAATCAGTCAACGTTGGTCCATAATCATACTTTTCTTATTCAGCCGTCCCTTTAACTCACAATGAAAGTGTTGTTTCCACCATCCCGACAGTAGTACAGGCTGCTGTTGGCCTGGAACAGGAAGAGGCCGCTGGCCTGGTGATAGTCATAGGAGGTAATGCCAGACACCCCCAAACGCTTCCTCTCCCGCAGCAGCTCCTCCTCTCGAGAGAAGGCCCCGTGGTGGGGGCTGGCCTGGGGTTAGGGGACACACACAAGGACACGTGTTGTGAAAGCACTGGTTGGGGTAGAAGTCAAAGAGAGTCTGTTTGGGGACTGGAAAATAAATAAATAAAGCTTTGGTCATGTGACCAGCACACCCAGTGAGTGGTCAAACAACTCTAAACATTTATAACACACACTGACAGCCTAGAATAAGTCAGAAATAAATTTAAAAAAAAATCCTCACCTGAAAGTGATCCAGCATGGGCTTCCAGGACAAGACCAGCAGGGCATCTTTGCGGACCTTTTTGGGAATGTCTGAGTAGAGTAAGGCGTTTTCCCGGCTGGCGTAAGGCATTCCTGTGAGGACACAGACCACAGCCAGAATCCGTAAGCCCAAACAAAGCTGGTGTCTGTGGGCTCAGGTTTAACTCACGATGGGTAGGTGGCTAAAACTCTAGCCGTTTGTTCCACTGGCCAAAAACCTGCAGTCGTACGACACACTGACATAAAGCTGAACCCTTTGGTGCACGTTAGTCACCACAGTGGGACAAAATAAGGTCAAAGGGATCACAAACTCTGACCAAAGCCTTTGTACTTTATCCGGGATTTCGAGCCAATGTTTGTGTCTTCTGCCGAGAAATCCTCTCAATGAACGCATGGGATCATCTTTGTTCTGGACAGACAGCATGAGAAAACAGTGCCTCCATGCTGATGACACAATGAAAAGCCTGAAGGTGGACTCCTCTGTATTTCTGAACTTATTTTCCCTTTTTGGTTCCATTTGCGTGATTAGACTTAAAAACAGTTCTAATAAATCAACAAAAAAAGCTATCAGCTGCACACTAAACAGCAAAAGAAGCAAAAGTGATATAATGTATGATTTTTTTTATTAGATTTTTTATTCATGCTTGACAGCACGCATTAAACTAGAGCTTTGACAGCATATTTGCAGGTCTTAGTGGCCATACAGGATAAAAAGACTTTTTTTTTTTTAATGTAGTTATTCTGCTGATGTTCTGTCCAATCCAGCTGCAGCAAAAAAAAAAAAAAAAAAAAAACTAGAAAATGTCCACAAAGCAAAATGCTGTTCCTGTTTCGAGCTCCACATTTTGTCCGGCATACCCTGACTAGAGCCGCGGCAGCTCTCCCAAAATCAAATGAGCCTTAAAAAACAGATGCAAGCTGGCAATTCTGACTCACCAGCTGCATGCACAGATTAGCAACGATGCACAGCGGCTCCCAGAGCCAGTGGATTTGCACTTCAGCACATCGAGGTCCATTAACCGGCCTCTTATCTGAGCCGGGACATTTCCCGACATGGACTGTGGGGGACGGCTGCTCTCCTCCTTACCGAGGTAGTAGATGCGGTGAGACTGCGGGCAGGCCTCGTCTTTGGGGACGAACTGGAAGTCGTGCGGCGCCTTGTTGATGAACACGCCCGTGTTCTTGCGGCTCTTGTGGATGATCTTCCGCAGGCCGTCCCACGTGTGCTTCTCCACGTGGAAGCGGGTGGGGTTGACGTCCTCCATTTCTACGACTTCGGTGCTGTCTGAGAGCTCGTCCGCCCCGGTCATGCCTGCCAGGGCCTCGCCGACGCTGTGGGCAGAGCGTCAGTCGGCCATCATCAGACCACCACTCCCATTTCCCAACACCGAGACCGTCTCAGAATGATGAGCGGCTTTTAACTCAAACTCAGCCATGTTACTGCTTTAATGAGTAGCATTGTTCATTCCTTTTAGGCACTAATAATAAATAAAGACGGAAATACTTCTTAACCTACTACGACCTCGGTACCCACCAAAGGCAATAATACTTCCTTTCCACAGGTTTGAGTTCTTCAATTTTAAGGCTGTGCATGCTCGTTTTAAATCTAAGTTAGATTTTTAAGAGTTTTTTGGGGGGGAAAAATAGATTAAGACTGATTATGACTGATTTTTTAAATGTTTTGAAAAATAAAACTGGATCAAACTCATGCAGCTGCTTACCTTTCCTGGCCGTCTCCTGTTGTGTCCTCGATTTTCAGCCGCTTTACCTTGTGCATTAACTGTTCAACAACCTTGAACCAGACCCGACAGCCTGTAAAACAGCCAGATAGAGACACAAAAAAAAACAAAGATGTCAGGAGAAAAAAAGGAGAGACGGAGAGAGACACCGAGAGAGAGAGAGAGAGAGAGAGAGAGAGAGGGAGGTCTGTTCCAAGATTAATTTATAACTGTTTACAGCAACAGCAGGGAGACACCTGGTCTAGCTAACGAGATCATCAGAACCTGACAGGAATGGGAGCAGATCACGCCATGTGCTGAGCTCGCACGCTGAGCACAGCGGAGGTGTTGCAGAGGGAGCGGCGTGGCGGTCGGCAGACATCTCCAGCCTGCTCCCGGCTCAGGCGGCTGCTTCGGCCTCTCTGGTGCAGCCTCACCATGTGCGAGTCAGACGCATGACTCCCGGCACTCCGGCGCCCGTGTCAGAACCGTGGCAAATTTGACACCGTCGCTCCACATTTTTCCTGCAAAAGGCGTCCTCCGGGCTCCTCTGCAGCCTGGGGCCTACGCAGAGCACAGACTACACCGACGTTCACGTCCAGATAAAAGGAACAGCAGCGAGGGATGGATCATCCGTCTCATTCAGAGATTTTAAAAGTGATCAGGATTGGTTTCGACATGAATTCAGGCCACCAGATTTAAAAATGTTATAATTATTTACTAATGACGGCTTAGAATCCAGGCCACAACGGAGTCTTTACACATGGACATGGGATTCTGCTCACGCTACTCAACCCTAATATCTAAGAAGTCATAAGCAAAAACTAAGGAATTGCAGTTTTTTAAGGGGCTCAATTGGGATTATACAAAAGCTGCTGCCTGTGCAGATGTGGGCCGTTTCATCAGGAGTTCTTTACGAGTTCTGCAACTCAGTTCGAGAAAAGCAACCGTAAGTAGAAGCTGTCAATGTGAGCCCACGCCACTTAATTGCAATCCGATGGAAACCTAGACAAACGGGTCACCTTTAGGCCACCTGCTACTGCAAAGCAAAAACCCATAAACAGCAGCAGCATTATGAGCAGCCCATAATGACTATTTGGTGCGCTCTAAGCAGTGAAAAGGAGCCAGGATCCTCCCTACTGTGAAGAAAAACACTTCACAACATCCAGCCTCAGAAGGCACGTCATCGTGATTATCTGTCAACCTCGTCATCGAAAAGAGGGCTTTGTGGGAGAAAACGCAGGCCATTAGGTGCCAACCATCCATTAACCTTAAGAACAGATCAGACATGTCAGAGGAGCTCTGACAAGCACTCAGTCTGCCTCTGAAACTAAGACGTACATGGACAAAGATTAAAAACATTCAGAAAAATCAAGAGTTTTTTTTTTTTTAAAGACATGGAGAAGATCACTGATTCCTTATCAACCATTTCCTGACTCTCATCTTTAAATGTTTAAAGATGAATGCATTCTAATACAAAGCCTTGACTGAAAACTCAGAGACTACATTTAACTTGTGCTTTATTGTCAATTCAAATCTACACAAGGTATTAAAACGATCTATACTTCTATAGTCCAAATATTTGAGAAAAAAAAAGTGAAAATGAGTCACATTTCTCTCAGTAGCTAAAACATTTGGGGAAGTTATCTAAAATAAGGTCCATGGTCCCAGTTTTGACCTCTGTTGGCACAAACATAAATCAGTTCTGTGTTTGATTAAAAGGGTGTTTCCAGTCAGCACAAAAAACATTTCCTGATAGTGTCCAGTCGAGTTTGGTTGCTGGAACATTGCACTTTCTGCCGATCGGCTCTGCTTTCTGTTTCCAGATGTGCCCCACATCATCCCCACCGCTCTGGGCGCAGACTGAGCTTCTGATATTTTCAGCTGAGTTTACCAAATTTGACACTTTGCATAGACGCATAACGAGACACGACATGCCACGACGTTTTCCGAATATCGTCTCCAGCCCCTGTATTTCTGACATAACCATCTTTGCTTCGCTCGTCTGTGTAAATTGAATACGACAACGACAGTAACGGCTCCGGTTGAAATCATTACAAATCAGTTTCACGGTTTCCGTTCAGACTCGTCTGCTGATGAAGCTCCAGACTTAAGTTGCCAGCATGGTCGACATAAGCATCATGTCGGGGGTTTTCTGTCTAAAAAATCTGACAAACTGTCACGAAGCAACAATTAAAAGCCACTGTGAATGCTGTAGTTTGTTTTGAAGCAAGACAGCGACCCGTGAGGAAGAAGCTAGCTAGCACAGTACACACACACACACACACACACAGCGAAATATTTGACCACACCATTTAAAAACAGGAAAATGACAATTGTTTTTTTGGCTTACACTTTCTGCCCAGAGACCTTGAAAGTGTCTATCCGTATGTCGACTTATAGTCGGAGGTGAAACTGACGACCAGTGGCTGCATAAGCTGCACAAGTCAGTTCCTTTGCGCAGAGCGGCTAGCTGCTTAATGCTAATCAACTAGCAACGCGGAAATAGGCAGTTTGAAGGAATCACAGGTTACAGCATTAAGCCTTTAACCCGGATATGATCAGTCAAGATACTTTCGGCACATTTCTCGCTCAGTGACTAGCAGAAACGTCAAACTACAGGCAACCACAATTTGTACGTCCCTAAATGATCAGAATTCGTACTTCCTCTGAGGTTCTTAAAGGCATCCGAAAGATTCCTTTCTTTGATTAAGATGTGGTCATTCACGTGTTCCTTCACACATAGGCCAAGACTAAATGTTTTCAGTATTAAATTAAATCATAGCTGAAGCTTTGGGAGAAATAGGCTTTTTCTGCCCTCCCAACCCACCCCCGAAAAATAAGGCATACACTTGTACAAACAGACAAATAAAAATAATGTGGCACCAAAGTGAACGTGATGAATGATATCAATAAAAACTAAAGAAATGGAACAATTGCTGAACAAAACGAGCAAAAACAAAATGTAAACAACCACAGAGGTACAACAGATGCATAATGGACACACAAAAACAAAAATTCACAAATAACACAAAGTCAAAGTGGGTTTTCACCAGTAAGTTAGGAAAAACCATCTAAACTGAAAGAACACAGCTGAATTTGTTTAAGTCACAAACTGCACGTGCAGGTTTGTGTGGTTATTTGATATCTCTTCCATTAAACTTAATCAAATTCCTCCTATGGACATTTTTTTTAAATAACTAAACAGTAACCACCAATTCTTCACATTGGGAGCCCTGCATGGAAAAAAAACAGTCAATTTATCACAAAGTTGGCAGATTTTGTTTTCCTTTTAATCAAATCACCAAAACATTCTTCAAATGGTGTCAGTTTCCTGCAGTGCCTCCAAATAAACCACTGAGGCATCTAAATTCAAGATTGTAGGCAAACACACTCAAGACAACTGTATCCTTAAAACATTTATTTTGTAATAATTTGTCCTTTTTTCTTTTGCATAAGTGCAAAAAATGCACCCAAAACAGCCACCTGAGGGAAGTCTACATCTTTAAATAAAAAAACAAGCAAAGTGTACATTAATAGTACAAAATTCTCTTTTTAAAAAATTGCACAGTTTGTGTATAATATATATATTCATAATCTCCATTTTAAACAAACTTCAAAGGCTCAGTAAGTAAACAAAAATTCACCAAAATAAAAACATTTTTTTCCCTAGAATTTAAAGCTGAGGAAACTTGAGACCCTGTTTTCATTTCTGTCCACCATAAATATACATATTCAAATGCAAGTCTCTTTACATATAGTCTCTGTGCTAGTGTTTGACCAGACAATCAATATTATTGCAAAGTAGTTCAGTTCTACTATAAAACATGGTTTGAAGGGGGTGGGGGGGAATAAAAGCTTCTTTCTGCTGAATGATCCTTAAGTTATGCAAAGAAAAAAAATGTGGATTTCTTTACACCCCTTTTAAATTGACTGGAATCCCTGCTTTCACAAAAGTTTCCCGTTTCACAAACTGTGCGCATTCAACATCTCTAACGAACAATCCAGAATTCCAGTTTTGCTTTTAAGCAAGAAAACACATTTCCCTGACTTCTTTTTTTTTTGTTTGTTTGTTTGTTTCTGAACTTTACACAATTGCCCCACACTGGGGTGGTGGTCAGCGTCGATATGGGTGGAAGCCCTGTACGTTGTGGTTCTGTCCTCTGCCAAACGCGCTTGCAGTGGGTTGTGGGGCGGCGGCGGGCTGTGCTGTCGGGGCCCCGTACGAGGCGGTCGGCTGGCTGGGGTCAGCGAAGCTGTGGCCGAAGGCCGTCAGGTCCTGACCGTACCCTAACAAAGGAGGACAGTAAAAACAAAAGCAGGAAAGAGGGTAAAGTTAACGCCTGGAACAGGGACGGAGTATGGTATGGACCTTGCTCGCGTACGTCTGGAGTAAAATTACTTTAAAATGTAGTTTTCAAGTGAGGGAAAAATCTACCTCTGGCCCAGCCGATACAGTTATGTCCCATAATATTATTGGTCAACGCAATGTTCACATTACGAGTCAACATCCAGGCCACAAAATATAAAGTAAACCTTCATTTCTTCATCTTTAACAAAAGGGCTGAAGCGGATGTTGAAAATTCTGATAGGTGGTTCAAGATTTTCCCAATTTCTAAAAAAACCCAGACTCCAAAATGTTGGAGTTAAATGAAAACTGAATGATTTGAAAGTATCACCTACACCCAACAGAAAGCTATAAAAATGTGGTAATTAACTTGTCTCGAATTAGCAACAACAGCTCTTAAAAAAGATCATATGGGACCACGTTTACCACTGTGTGACATTTCTCAGATGGTTCTGAACCTCTGCTCATCTTTTAAAGAGACTCTGCCTTTCTTCGTTTTACCCGGTCATGTTGTTTACTTATTAGGTGGGACTTTTTTCTCTAGCCTTTTTTTTTTTTTTTTTGGTCACCACGGCTGATTTTATCTAGTCAAGATGTGTTAATTCCATCAAATCCAAGATGAGCCAATCATTTTCACAACATAGGCAAATATTTAACATTCAATATATGATAGTTTCCTTATTATTCTAAAATATTAACATTATTTTCATATTTTCATATTCAGTAAGCCTTGCGTTTTTATACATTTCTACTTGAAAAGGCTCTAAAATGTGTTTTAACGCAGTAGATAGACTTCAATGTGAATCAAGGCTAAAACAGCAACAAAAAAATCAATGAAAAAAGCTGAAATCTATTAGCTACTGTCAATGGGTTTTTAAGAAAAATGTTCAGGTGGATTTTCTCCCCACAGTTTTAATGTCCAAATCCTCTTCATGATAGCTTGTATAAAAGAAAACAAACTGTTAAAACCCAGAAAGGAGACTCTGAACTTAATTTACTTCAGTCTCCTTCTTTGAAGGAAACAATGACGACATTTTCTTGGACGCGGTGTGTTTATGATGCCTGTCTATGCACTGGATGGCACTATCTCCCTGCAAACGCGGGAGGGAAACGCAGCCACTCCCAGGGGAGGAAACTAATCTGCCCGGAAAAAAGCTCAGACCAAACTGCCTTCAAACAATTGGAGATGGGTTTGCTGACCAGATGCTGGCAGACTCTCTCTTCTAGTGACAAGTTATTTTCCTGTCCTAGTATCAAGTTAACCCTAGTCAAAATGTCAGAGAAAAATGGAGCGAATTGGAAAGCACAACACACTTCATTGAGAAACAGGGAGAGGTCCCACCAGGGCCGTGGGACACATAAATGAGAGTGTATCTGAAGATGGCGGGCATTGTGGTCTCCTTTAAATCTTCTTTCCTTTTTCACCCCTTTAGCTACAAACCAGAGACAGTAGACTGGGGGGGTGGGGGGTCGCAACAATGGGCGAATGAGCTGCTGATGCATGGGGATAACTGAACCATGAACAGATTTTCTGACAATTAGATCATCCTTTCACAAAAAAGCAAAGCGATGCAGACAGTGAAGCAAAAGAAGGAGGACGTGTTGGTCTTGATATAGTAAAGCCACAGCCACTGAGGGACCTGACATGCTCTAAGCTAACCTTGCCGATCTGAACGGATATTTCCCTGTAGTCTGTGACGGACGCAGTAGCTGGGTTTTACTATACAAGCAGACAAAGAGTCATTTGTATGTACATGCAAAATGTACATGCAAAATACGAAACAGAGCAAAAGGAAAGAGGAAAAAAAAAAAAAATCAGGTTGCAGCTCTAAGAAAGTACTGAACAAATGCTTCTTTTGTGGTTGGAGAGGACGATGCTGGCACCTACCTGCACTATATCCTCCCTGCTCATCCTGACCATAACTGTGAGAAGGACGCGTTGGTCCGTAGGCAGAGGGGTCCTGAGGGTAGTTACCCAAGCCTAGCAGGGAGATGAGGAGACCAGGTTGACTGAACCCAGATACTGCTGGCCAGCTACTTTACCATAGTTGTCCCGCTTACTGAGCTAGCGGAGCTCTACATTTCTACTCATCTATTGGGTCTGCTCTACACTTGGCCGGGCATTTACTTTTCAGCTATACCGAATGTGAATGAGAGCTGTCTGTAAGCGCTCTGGACTTCTTTTATTCCTTAAAAATAATAAATAAATCAGGCCAGCCTGGTCTCATGGAATTTTGTGAAATGTGCATTGCCAGCTAATATGCAGGTGACGTAAAGAGGGGGAAATGTTTTCCAGCCAGGTGAGATTTCAAGAGCAGGGAAGCAACCTGTAGATACAAAACTGTAGATAGATTTTTAGTTGTTTTTTTTTGTCGAGTAATGTCTTACATTTCTCAGCTGGTTTGAATCCAAACAATTGCGTCTGCCATCAGAAACGCCTTAAAACCTGTCGACAGGAAATAAGACACACTCGTCTTTACTTAACAATAAATTTGGCACGCTTTCTAAACTGTGGTTCGTTTGGTTTGCAAACTTGAATGAACTCATTTCTCTAAGTAGATGAGTAGACGCACACATAGAATTGAAGTAGTTGAGAAGCATTTGAGGGCTGTTTGTATAGGGGAAAAAAGGCAACATGGCTGATATTGCATATAGCTCTGACCTCTCTATCTAGGAACTGATCTCTGAAAATCTAATTTACACATCAGAAGAAGGAAAATCTCTCTAGACTGTCTCAAAACGGCTGAATGTCTGATTCTTCTGATATTCACAGGTCTCCATTGCTTGGTTGGCAGTAGCAGATCACTTAATTCAGCTCAAACACTTGCACTGGGACTACATTGTGAATGGCTAACAATGCCCCCCTCGTGTGAGAGACTGGCAGCTCTGACGGCTCCAACCAGATTAAAGAGATTGATATAAAAACCTGGCTGTACTTCACTTGCAGATGCTTTTCAGTTTCAGTGAAAGAAATGCTCACTCCTGGCACTGTCTGTGATTTGACTGTCTGTGACTTTAGAGCTCACAGCTTTCTGAAATAAGAGTAAAACCAGCCTTGTCTGAAAGTGAGTAATCATTAAAATACAGTTTACTGTATACAGTGGGAAATAATTATCATATAAAACCACTAACTGCATCCTGACAAACTAAATATTTCAAAAATACGTTTTTATAATCCATCATTAATTCAATCTCAGTAGTCTAGCTGCATTTGTTTTGTAAATTACAGAATGCACTGGAGTTTCCGCTGCTACGCTAAAGCTGCTTGTTTTGCATCAGAAGCGACACATTTCACAAAACCATTGCGAGGCCATCTCGTTCCTGTCAATTGAGAGCTGGACCTGAAGCCTGAACAGGCAGCAGACATTTAAAGCAGAAAGCTGGATGGACGATCAGCACAAGCGGGAAACACTGAACAAGATGAGCTTGAACGGCTTTAGCCGACAGCCATCACGTCGGCTTCAAACGCAGCTTCAGCAGCGTTAAGCAGGTGAAAGCCAAGTCAGAATAAAAACATATTAACAGCTGGAAATCGTTTTTGACTTGCTGCTAAGGACTTGGTTTGATCAGAGTTAATTTGAAATACACATTGTACATTTTCAGAGGGTGCCTGCGCCCATTTAATTTCATATCTGGCTTCAATTTGGTGAAGGCACTCCATAACCGTCTAAAAATAAGAAAGTCACAGTCCTAATTTTCTGTTAAACTTATATCCAAGTCTCACATTTAAGTCTCTGAATGCTGTTTGAATTTGTTCAACAATTTATATGCTTAGCTTAGGTCCCAGAGGAATAATTATCCTGGCCCAATCCAGCGTAAGGGTAATGTTATGCTAATCTAAGAGCTCATTGAAAAAAAAAAACATCGGGAGAGTCAGACATGCAAATAACGTTTCTTTCAGATCTCATGCTAGTGCTCTTCAGTGGCACATGAGAATAAAAAAACAGGAAAAGAAGCAAGTAAGCAGGGGGTAACAAAAGCAGGAAGTGTAGACGGGATTAGGGTAGTCTAAAAGGCATCTAAACAAAATCAAACATAATTTACGGTAAGCCAGGACAGGATCACACTCCGCTTAAAACAAAACAAGAAAAAGAAAAGACAAAGAAAACATTGCAGGGCAGGATGATCTAATTAAAAACCTACCCAGAACCCATCAATCTTAAAAAAATCAATCCGCAGCTCAGATGGAATAACTTGAGAGAAATAACTGCTGGGGACATCTGGACACGGCAAAAGGTCAGCTGCCTCTTCACGGCAAAGCTAAAGAGGTTCATGTTTGCAAGAAGCATGTATGAATATGTAGCTGTTCAAGCTAAATGGCATCAAGAGCAAGCTCCTGCTTGTGTATGGGTGGTGGTGATGAAGTCGGGTGAGCTGTTGTCACGCCCAATATAATAACCAGGGAGATCGTCGGGATCAAGGGCTGATTGAAAACACAATGGGACAGAAAACAGGCAGCATACTTGCACGGTACTCGTCTTACCATACTGGCTATAGGGGAAGTCAGGCTGCCCGGTGGGAGCTTTGCTCAAGTCCTGAGTAGGTGTGGTGGCTGGGGCAAAGCCCAGCGGTGCAGCTCCAGGAGTGGTGGGTGGAGGAGGAACTTGTGGAGCGTACTGTTCTGCTTGTGGTGTGCCAAAACTGTAGCCTGTTTGAGAGCAAGGAGGAAAATGATTTAAAGCGCCTTCTGTGCACGTTCTACCAACAGACCAGCATGAACAGGTGCAGAAATGGAATGCGACCATCGTTAATATACCCGCGATGAGCTCCATATCCTGCAGCATCTGTCCTGTCCTCATCAAAATAATTTATAAAACGGCACATTAATTGTTTATACCATATTGTGCTGCTCTTGTTCATGCGAAATTGCTTAAGGCAGCCATCCTTTCTTTGCTACCAGTGGCTGGTAAGGCATTAATACTACTGCTTGTGTTGGCTGTAATTAACAGAGCTGTCTGCTGACAGCCATGAAAGCATAACTGAAGCTTCATTACACCCCGGCTATGGTACGACGTCTCAGGCACCGGGAGTTTAGAGACTGATGACAGTCCACACATGGTAAGCTGGAGACAACGGCTGTCAGACACGCAGTACTAGTGTTTCCAAGAAGAAAAAAAAACAGCGTGCTATGGGGTTATCACAACCATACAACCTTATCTTAGAGCAAAGCATTATCTTTTTATCCCAAGTACAACAATATCTGACACAATTTCCACAACATTAATTATAGCACAGTGTTTCAAATGAGCGCGGTGATATGCTGGTTAGTACTGTCGCCTTACTGTAAAAAGGCCCCTTTTTCACATCTTATAAGGGGCCTTTCTGTGTCCCCTTACATGTGGTGTCTCATGACAAGGCTCCATTCTACTACGTTTATGTCTCAACTGCTTAAGATAATTATCAAGGGCTTCAATGGATGTAAATCTAAGTACAAAATGCATTTTTTTACTACATGATTAGAGTGATTTCATAATTCTACTTCATCTCAGGGAATAATAAACTTCCCAACCCCAAAAAATGGATTTACATTTTTAAGGTGTATTTGACACTGCCAGAATGTCCTCCAACTGGCTGTAAACTCTGGGTGTCTGCAAGTCATGCTGTCCATCTGTGATAAGACAGAGGTCCCTCCCTTAAAACAACAGCGTCAGGACTGCCTTAAAGACCACACAAGTGTAACACATTTACACAACGCTTTCACCAAAATCAGGAAATGCTGCAATAGAGGAGCAAAGGAAACTACAAAAGACAGCTAAACCTTTTCAACTGCGCGTTTCATACTACTGCAGGACTACCACTTCCCGTTAGGGATAGATAAATAAAGCACTGGCAGAGTCAAAATGATCAAAGGTGTTAGAAGTGAGGCAGCTGTTGGGACTGACCGAACTGAGGTGCTGTGCTGTAGCCCTGCTGAGGGTATCCCTGAGGTGCAGCGAAGCTGCCCGCCGGGGTTGTGACCAGGAATGCGTTGAATGGTGACGGAGGCTGTGTGGGGGTTCCCCGGCCTGCTGACAGCGGAGGTCCGTAGCCACCTGTCAAAACACCGGCTCTGTAAATACGCTGTCGGCTTTTATCCCCCATTTACAAATTACACGCTTCAAATAGCACGCCATTACACTGGTGGTGGAACTTTAAGCAGAAAGAGTGAAATGCATCAGCTCGTCTGCGCTGGGTTGAACAGCTAACTCAAAATGAAGATAATGGGCAATAATTGCTGAAGAATTAAACACAAGCTGAAAATGAAGTGGTCTTTAAATGCGCAGCAGGTTGACCTGGAGGTGGCGATATGAAGTCGAGCCTGACCGATTGCTGAGGGAGGCTAGAATCCATTCAAGGCTGCCATCTGTCTCAAGCAGCAAATTATCAGCAGCCTCAGCCATTATGAATCAGTGATAACACGTACTGTTAACTGTCATCAGGCCATTGGCTACACTGTGTTCAACCCCATTTCTGTCACACAAGCGGTTCACGATAAGCACATGACTACATGGCAAAGTCACATTTATCTCCCTTCTCACTCTTACACAACATACAGCGAGCTCGACAGCCAGTGTTGTCGGGTTTGGGATGAACACCTACCTATGGGCTGGCCAGTAGCAGACACCCACACTCCTTCAGGAAGAGAGACAGAGAAATTTAGACAGCAGCACACAGCAGATGTGAGAAGTGTGAAATGTTCACACAGTACAGTTAATATTCAAACTGATACACATGTTGGCGGTTAATGTTTAAGCAGAATATTTCAGACTTTCAAACGGTTACTTCGTGGTTGTCCTGTAAACCAGCGAGCTTCCACCCGCTCTTCTCTGGGAATTGTTCCCACTCACCCTGCGGCCCGTAAGGCTGTTGCCAGCTCTGGGCCGGCTGTGCTGTCCAACCATTAGCTGCACTCAAGATGCCCCTAGGGGCCCACTGGCCAGGGCCAAGCTGGCCAGGAGCTTTGCTGTCACGGGGCTCAGCCTTCTTTACTTCCACCTGGACAAAGGACAAGAAGGGCACATTTGGCAACACCAGTAAAAGGTCAATGGAGTCCCTCACCTAGACAGGCCTGCGCTATAACCAAAACTTCATCTCAACATTTTGGGCCAAGTTTAAATCTTTAATTTATTTGATTAATGTTGGGGAGCTATGGAAATTAATTTTCCTGTTTAGGCACAAGAGTTGTATGGCTATGTGTCTCAGGTACAAGATTGTTAGTAGGAATTGGAGAGCCAAAGGCGCATTGACAAAAGCATTGCCTGTAGATTGCAACATCTTAAAATGTGCCTGAGAAACATAGATTCTTTTCTCTTTATAATTAATTTCCCTAAATATAATAAATGCATCTAATGTAAGGTCAAGACTTACCTTTCTCCAGCTAACGCTTAAAAAAGATTTCATCTTTACTTAATTTGGAATAGATTTTAGAGGGGGAATGGATGAAATATTTGTATCTCAGTTCTAAAATACTAAAGTAAACATGCAGATAATACAGTCATTTTTTTTGTTCAGTTTAAAAGCGAATCTTCATACTGTGTCACAAAAGTCGAAATAGTTTTTAAAGACCAAGTCAATGCACATTTAGAAAGTCGTCTTTAAACAACCTGAATCTGAACTGTAAAAATATCAAGAATTGGAATTTAAAACTTCCCTTTTTATGCTTTTTCAAATATGCATTTGGGTTTTATTCCTATTAATACGACGACGCAACAACTGGGCAACTTTCAAAGAAAGATGAGTTTCATCTTTCGACAAAATGTCCCTGTTAGCAACTAGACAAGAGTACCAACAGATAACCAGAGCAGAGAAAAACAGGTTGAGACTAAGGGGAGCCAACAGAAATAGACTGAAGGGTTGAGTTATTGGGGTCACCTTGCAGGAGAAAAACGAATCACAAATTCCTCCCTGCTTTAAGGTGTTACCACCTTCCCCTCTTCCTTCTCTGTCGACCTAATTACATGCACATGTTTCCAGCAGTGGCCTCGTCGCCGCCAGCAGCTACCTGAGCACTTTCTCCCGAGGGCATCGCAGCAACCAGTGATGGATACCATGACTCCTGTATGGTCCCAAACAGCAGAATTGGGATTTGTTCCGCAGTTTGATGTGCTCCAATTTCTAATTTTGTAACTCATATCTCCCCGTGTCCCTCAAGTCCCGGCGTAAAGGTAATGTCAAGTCAAGAACAATGGATTAAGTCAAGCCTTGATTCCTGCTGAAAACGAGGGCAAAGTCAAGAGGACCGGTAACAGCTGGGGAGTATACAGGTTGTGCCGAATCATTTACCAAGGAAATGAGACTCAACTCATCTTTGTAATGTAACAATCAGTGACAACTGACTAGAAGCCTGCTGCTGGTCTACATCTCTGGGGGGGGATGGCATGTTCAGGAGAACCTTTCCCAGCCCTCCTGAGCTCCTCGATAGGAGCTCTGGATAATAATAAAAAAAAGAAAGGAAGAAAAAGAAGGAGAAACAAATCTGATTCACGGTCTGTTAAGAATAAACAAAAGAGAAAGGCCCTGTACATTAAGGCACTTACAAATGGAAGAAAGTACCTCCATTAGCCATAGTGTTGATGCTGTCTTCAAATGTCTCAAATGTCCACTGTCAACCAAAAGACCCAACATTTGGTTTACAGAAATTCAAGCATCAAAGAAAAGTAGACTTTATTTCACTTGGGGAAAAAATTAGAACAGCTTCACTACGAGTTGCGGTAGATTCACCAATGTCTAAGAGTAAAGTATGTCATGGTGACCTTGCAGTCGTGTAAAGATTGAGGACAGAAACAGTTTTTTTTTTTTTAAGATGAGATATAACAGCATGGATGTACTTGACTTTGATCTGTTTCTCATAAAGACTGGCTTGCAGCTTATTGCTGACTGCACAGTGTGAAAGATCGAGGCTGTCTCTTCTAAAATCTCGGCATTTCTGAAAACTGAATCTTTTGGGGGGAAAGGGAGTTTGCTAACAGCTTAGAGCTGTAACAGTGACTTAAAACTCAAGTGTCAGAACCAGTCTTTGTCAGATCTGTGCCAATTTAAGCTTTCTCAATTCATCTTGGTTCCTTTTAACCAGCTGAGGCTCCAGGTGGGCGGTGTTTGCCATAACAGCGCAACACAAAGTGATGAGGAGAGAGATCAGGAAAAGTGCTCAAATATAACACTGCCATAAATATGACGCTTTTGCCGGGATAGGCAGCTTACCTGACACTATCCGAATTTACTTAGAGCTATAAACCCCATCCATCTGGTACACCCAGTAGGATAAACAAACGCTGGAAATGGCATGCAAATATCACCGTGCGACTCAAGTTTCAGACTTTCCTTTGTGATTTAGAGAACTAGAAGACACAGTATGGAGATTCTCAGACTGAGGTCACTGAACTGAGCGTTTCAAAAAGGAATAAAAAAAACAAAACCAAAAAAACATGTTGACATGTAAGTGACCTGCCAACAAAACATCAGAAACGAAAAGAGAACCAAAAGACAGAAAAGAATTCAAACAGAACTGATTGGACCAATCCTTTAGGTGATCTTTATCATTCAACAAAATCCTCAGGGATTCTGTTTTTTCTGTCTCTGTAGACTGCTTTTAAGAAAAGGAACAAAAAATATATTTTTAATATTTTATTTCACTGGAAGCCAAATCAAAACATTAATTGTTTTTTTTTTGTTTTGTTTATTTGTTTTTTTTGGGGGGGGGGCAGGGCGGGGCATCCAGTACACCTCACACACCCTAAAGGAGTGGTCAGTTTAAACAAAGCCTTGGGCGACAACTGAATCTGTAAGAGGAAGATGAGAGCATTCAGAGACTACGACAGCTCAAGAATGATTGCAATACAGAGTTAACACCCTGATTATATTAGGCTGTAGGAGGCTGTTAGAGGCTAAATTTGAACTGATGATGATGCCGCACACGCTAATTGAAAGCCTTTGGAATTTTTGCCTTCAGTAATGAAAACAGCATTGTGTACCCCTGTCACTCCGTCGCCCAAGCCTCTGTTTGGTCTTAAGGGTAAAATAAAACTACAACTACACACTTTTTTGCCCATGATGTCGTGAAAATGCATGTTGACAGCCTGGTCCACTGATTGTTCGGCCTCGAAAGTAATAAATCCAAAACCTAGCCAACGACCAAGAGTGAATCAAGGTAGCAGGGGGGTTGTGACAACACAAGATGAAGAACAGTATTGGGCTTCAGCAGAGTGAGGATCCGTCAAGACTGAGCAAGAGGCTCCTGGGGTTCGGATGATGTCGCAGACTTGCAGAACAACTCAAATCCAAGACTAATGCCTGGGGGGGTGAAGGAAACTTTTCTCTTTACTGTGCAGAGAAATATCGGGTAAAGGTAACATTTATGGACTGCTTAACTGCTATACATGACAGATGAGAGGTGTAGCATTTGATTTAATGTGAAATGTCACACAAAAAAAAGGTCATTTAGTCAATTTTCCACCCTCTGACAAAACGGTGATAAATGTCATTTGAACTAGTATTACATGTTGTCACTTCATGCCGTTTCATCCAAACCCCACCTTGATCTGTCCCTTGGTATATTGCTGTGGAGCACACACACTCGCAGCAGCCATTGTTAATGCATCACAAAAATATGGAGTAACACAAACTGTAGAATGCCTAAAGCTTTCTCCGAGCTTTCCCAAATTCAGAGTTTTACTTTGAGTCAGCCAGGATAAGCCTATAAATGGACAATTAAAATATAAAATATTGCTCACAGAGGTAGCATAAAGATATAGGCCTCAAAGGTTTTCCCAAAAAAAACCACAAGTTGCAAATTTTGGTGAGGAGATTTCAAGGAGAACATGCAAAGTGCATCAAAAAGTAGAGTTCAAAGCATCACCTGTTAACTTTTCACTAAACTACTGGATTTTTCGATCTAGAGCAACTCTTCAGAACCTTACACGCGGCTGCACTGCAGTGATCTACTTTCAATTTGATTATCTTACCACTGTGGCAGAATTGGGTTGAGAGCACATCTCCACTTGGGGACCTAACCTGAATCCAATTAAACATCCTACGAGACAACTGAGATATCACAGACCTCTAGTACCATGCCAAGCGTTCCCACGCCTCATGTTCGGCGACTATTTATACCATCTGTCAATGACCCGTCCCCAACCTAAATTTAGAACCAAAACGACACCAGAGAAGAGTTTGATACATGACGGCCACATAAAACTTAAAACTGCATGAACTAGTTCATTTCAGCTATTAACACTCTGTTGAACGCCTGATGCCTTTCATACTGTAATATGTCAAAATCTATTAAAATAATCTATCTGGAATTGCGACCAATGGCAAGATAAACATAAATAAAATACACTCAGTTTTGTTTCAGAAATTGAATTAATGTTAAACAAAATCAAGATTTACTTTTTTTTTTCTTTTTTTAACACAGCTCTAATAAGTTTTGTCCTCCATATGATTACAGTCACAGAGGATCTAAAACAGGAAATTCCCTTGAAAAGATAGGATTTTTCTTAAACCACTGACAGAATTGGAGTCATTATAGTTTGAATAAAACAACCGTATCAGTTCAGATTAATATACCCCATGAATGCCGATGTCCAACCATCAAATCGCTCTCTCTAACACAGAGATAACACATAATCTTTCAGCCTTGATGCACCTTATCTGAACCCCTTTAAAGGAGAGTAAAAAATAAAATAAAACATAAAAAAAGAATAATAAATGAAAAATAACTGGGTGCTTTTGTATTTGGCCTGCACCTTTGTGCTACCTGTCAATGCACAGTAACCTAAAGGAGAAAAGACAAATCTTAAGAGACACCGTTAATCACAGTCAAACCATTCACAGGAAGAAGGGGGACAGAAGAAAGAAAAATAGAAAGGGCTTACTTACAAAAATACTTAACTTTCTACATATGGGAAAACATATACTATGCCATTTAAGATACACATATCAGTTACTACTAAATCAAGGTAAAGAAAACTTATTGCAATGTTCAACATATAGTGGTTTAAGTAAAAGAAAAGATTTACACTATCAAAGATCGTGTACTGGTTGTTACTGGTGCATTACATCACGTCAAATTCCAATGACAAACTATTCTGGGTTTTGCCCAACAGAGAAGGAACTCGTCTATGAAGGAGGGAAAGTGGTGTGTTGTGGGCCAGTGCTTAAACTGTGAACACGTGTCAAACACTTTAAGATATTCACAACTTTAAAGAACAAGCTTGCAGGTCTTCTGCAGTCTGGAAATGGGTTATAGGAACTTCCTCGGTGTCAAAGGACCAAAAGCCTCATAAGCGGGCCATTGTTCTCGTGATAACAATGCTATATGCACCCTCCTCGTCGTGGAACCAGCCTCAGAAGAACAACTTCCCCGTCAGGTGCTCAAAATGTTCTCAATATGCCAGCTGCATGCTGTGATTAAGTAGTGCACTTTTCAGAGCACCTATTTTCCTGTTACTGGCCTCCTTATCACTTTAAGGTGTCCTTCAGCCTCCCAGAAAATGTTTCAATAACTAATTAACAGCATTAACTTAATATAAAATGTTTTAATAGAGCTTTTAATGAGAAGAGAAAAAAATAAGTGAGATCTGAACTCATCTTGTGATTGGTTAATGATAGTGTGGACATGCGTTTACATCCTCTTTTTACCTGATAGTTTACATAGCTCTTTCTCTCCTCACAAATAACTAAGTTTTACATTCTTGTCAATGAAAATACCAAAAAACACAAGTTGGATGTAAATGTTTGTGAGTTCATTCCTCCCATTCCGAAGTGCAAAGAGGAATTTCTCCATCTGTGCCTCTGGAGCGATGAGTTAAGTGTGGCAGGTCTCCAAAGACCGAAACTTTGGACTCCAACTTTATCCGACTTTTACAGGGTCGGCCAAAGCCTGACCTAGAACCGTTTCTTTCTGTGTCTACCTCTAAAGCTCTGGCTCAAGCACAGAAAAACCAGAGCAAGGCTAGCACTAGCCTTTCACCGGAGCAGCGCAAAGAAGCAGAGGGCCGGGCTACAGAAACCAAACAGATCGGCTTAAATATTCTGACAGCCATGTTCAAAAATCCAGAGCGGGTGTGGAATTTAGTATGCCTAATTAAAAAGAACGCAGATGGACAGAAAACTGAGCTGCAACGGGGATGTGAATTCGAATCACTCTCAGTTTATGCAGCTGGATTGTCATTACCATCATCACTAATTTTGTCACATTTCTTAACATTGTTGGATGCCGGCTTGTATAGAGCATCTGTCAGAAGAGGAAAAACGAGAAAACAGATAAAGGAGGATTGTGGATTTTGTCTTTGGGATGAGAAGACAAAACTAAGAAAATAAATCTTCATGAAGATCTCAAAAATCCAGCAATTTCATCTGAAGAAGTGAAAATGATTGTTTCTATATCCACAATGAAGACACCCCTTCCACCTCTAAACCAGCCACTCAACTGTAGGCTTTGTTACCACCAATCTGCTACTCTGCTCACAAAAAATCCATCAAGGTCATATCATATGCAGTCATAATACGGTCATAACGCTCAGAGGGGATCATCTAACATATAGAGATATGTGCTTTTAAAATGCTCATCGTCTTATCATTTGAAATTCCTTTGCAATCTCTAAATTATGTCAACGTTCTACCTATTTGCATCACAAGATAAACTGTAAAGATGTGGTGTGGGTTTAATGGACTCTGTTTTTAGTGCTTCTCGCTCTATTGTGTGCATTTACCATATGCCCAATTCCTCGTCCAGCATTGGGTGTTTTGATTTAATGAAATTGAGCTCTATGGGCTGTTTCTCTTTGGGCCAGAATAGTTTGTCATGAGATTTAAGGTGGTAAGAAATGGAAGGGGAGAGAAAAAACGGGATCAGCTTTTACCTCGGGGCCTCTGCTTCTCCGCATCATAGATCATTACCACCTCTGTGACCTTGAATGGGACAAAGGGAAACGGGCTCCATTTAGAAAATCAGACGGCGTTCCTTCTTCCTTCAATTTCCCATTCTGCCACAGTTCTGACAATTTCACCCATCATATTCCCAGGAAACATTCATGTATACAGTAATATTGACCCTGTTCCGAGCAGAATTCATTCAAGCAATCTTAAACGATGACATGAGCAGGCTTTGTGCACTGGGCAATACTTACCACTCCGAATCTATTGAAATAGTCCCTGAGTTCAGGCTCGCCGCAGTTATGAGGAATTCCACCTACAAAAATCTTCTTTGATTTATTGCTATCAGCTTTGCTGCCCTTCTGTAAAAATGAAAAATAAATAAATAAAAAACAAAACACAGTGTATGGATTTCAGTGTGTGTTAAAGGATCGCTCAGGGAGACGGCCAGTCAGCCATCATCTATTCAGACAGTGCGGAAGAAATTAGGTTCTCCTCTTGCCCTGGGGTATAATTCTTAACATGTCATGTCAATGCAAACAGTAGTCTCCACAGAGCAGGGGAACATGGCTTCTTCCACTTACTCTAAACCACTGAGCATTTCACCAGTGGTGTGCACTGCTATGAAGCCTTAAAGACTAGAGGCTGGTCACAGCACGGGGGGGGGGGGGGTGTAAAAAATAAAATCTTCTTTTTTTTTTTTAAAACATTTGGTAACAGCTATTTGACTTAAAGCCCGTGGGACAAGTGCCAGGAGCAGATAAAAAGGGGCTTCTTTTATAAATTCATGTGACACACAGACTGCTTAAGGCAAAATATGAGACTTGAAAAACTGTTTTGTGGACAGCAGAGACACAATAAGTAAAGCCTCAGCTGCCCAAAGGGACAAAATTACCGGTACGATAAAAGACGTGCAGTTTGATGACATTGCTGATTGACCCACAAATCGTCCAAGTTGGAGAAGAGCCTGCTGTCTCTCAAAACATTAACGGTTGAGGGCGTTTTTATGCACCACAAAATCAAAGACATTTTCAAACCTTCTCACGTTATACATGGCAACATACTTCAGATTTGAAAGAAAGAGAAAATAAACAAATAAATACGTTCATAAAGCCTGTGTAATTACATCCCTTTGAGATGTTTTTTTTTTTTCATATGTGGTCTAATTTGTCTCATTAAGAGACATTTGAAAACTGGACCAGAAACCTGCTGGCTGCACTCCTCCGGTTGCAAATATGAGACAATAGTAGAATCAGATTTTTAAATGTGCCTGTAAGCCTCAGACTAATCTTTTATCACAAAAACATCTGATTAACGACAAATATAATATTGAGCCCAATATTTTGTGGCAGCTAATCACAATGAGCAGAGGTCCAGCCTCAGGAGGAGGGGATGCAGAAACTGTTGAAGTGAGTATCTTTCTTAGAAAAAAAAACCCTAGCATAGCCACCCCGGTAGAAATCAGATTTCTCTTACCCAGCCCTCCTTGGTTCGAGACTTTTCAGGCTGCATTCCTCTGGGAGTGCATGGCTTCGGGTCAATCTGACAGCAGAGGGAGGGGGGGAAAAAATGCTTCACATTATACTCAATTAAAAGGCACCTTCAAACGTTCTTCACCGAATCCATCACAGCGTATCAGTTTGCTTCACTCCACAACACACCATAGAGCATACATTGGAAACATCCCTTTACTCAATAAAAACAGAACCAACGTGGCACTAATTGGAAAGCAGATTGTGTGAAAGCTCTCGTTTCCTTTTACGTGTGTTAGTTAAGCTAATCTGGGAGGGATATTTAAACAGGCGAGAATTAACATAAAATGCATCATCTGGACCACTGGCTTCCCACATGTGCCACTCAAAGAAAAAGTGTCCTTCCCCTCAAGTAACTTATCTGCCATCGATGATGAAATTCAACATGAAGCGTTTAACACTGCTCACATAAAGCGCAGGCAGACGGTTCTGATTGGACTATCAGGCTCTTTGATCTTAAATACTCACATTTCTCCCATCAAGATTGTGTGGCTTTGTCTCCAGCACTGTACGCACACAATTGGGGTCTTTGAACTTAACGAAGCCGAAGCCTCGCGACTGATTTGTAGTTTTGTCCTTCATGATGACACAATCTACCACTTCTCCATACTGTGAGAAGTAGTTTCTCAAGGTTTCTATTAAAAAAAGGAAAAAAGACATGAAATTACAGAGCTGCTTTGTTGAATCAAGCTAAGAAACATCCAGCAACACGGAAGACATAAACTTAGAACCAACTATATGATGACACCTGGTTTGTCTCCTTTATACAAATAAATGAGGCCATAAATATCTTGTGCTTTCATTGTGATAAGTAAGAATATATGTTCATCACTTAAACCCATTCTAAAACTGTAACTGTAAACAAAACCAGAACAAAAAAAAAAAACACACAACACTGAAAATCCTCCTGTGACCTTGAATCTGTTTCTACAGCCTACTGTAACTTAGTGTAAGTCCCATGCAGACACTCACGAAGAGCAAACAAAGCACCGTCATCTTAACCGACAACTGTAAATCCCGCACACGCCCAAAGAGGCAACTCAAGCAAGGCGAGCAAGTTTGAACAAACGAGGAGTCACTTTGGAGAGTTACCATAATTGGTTTTCGTATTCCTGAAAAGCCCTGGGGCATCGGCGTTGTACACCGAAACAAGCACCGAGCCACGCACAACCGTGGCTCACATCTCAAATAAAAGCGCTGTTAACAAAGACAAGCACTTGAGCAAAATTACCCAACAGCAAACCAACCGTGAGCCTGCGAGGGGCTTCAAACAGCCCACATCAATTCCACATAGCACGGAACGGGAGGACAATGGAGACCGGATGCAGAGCCATTAATGAGGATTTCAATCTCAGGCCTGCAATCTATATCGCCACAAATAATTACAATGCAAACAAAAAAAACAGCAACAACAATAAAGTATCTTTAGAGAATCGCTGGCTATAAAAATTTTATCATAAACCCTGACAGGAAGACATTTAAGGCTCAATACAGGCAGCTGATTTAAGCAGCAACAAAGCAGTTTTCCAGCATGGTTAGATACAAAAGAAAACAGCAATAAACCCCATCATGCCAAATCAAAAAGGTCAAAATTATTTTTTATTACACATATCATCTGCATTTACAGCTACTGTGACAATGCAGCAAAAGTAAATATGTTCCTCCAGTACATTCATGACTATGAAACAAAAATGCATCCAACCATTTGGTCCATGTTTGATTGACAAACTTGAAACAAACTTACGACATCAGTTTGACTGATTTTGCCTGTAAAGTTCAAGCTAATTGAAACCTGACAAACATTAGTATTCATTCAAACTCAGTGTCTGGTTTTCTCAAGGTAAAACCTTGAGTATATAAAAAAGAAGAGGGGGGGGTTGGGGAACACATCAATGTGACGTCAACTGACTGTGCCATCAAGACAAATAAGTATTGTTTAGTAACACTTACTTGCAAGAAGTTTAGGAGCATCCCCAAATAGTGTGACATACCTTGTGTTGTACTCCAGTCCAGTCCACCCACAAAAAGTTTCCTGAAAGAAGAAGACATCATTTGAGTCAGTGCTGATCATCACCAAGTCAGAGGAAGGGAATTACAGCCTCTCGATCAAGACACATAAAGGCATTTTTTAAAATGTACATTGGTCTTTCAAGATGTAAACACTGTGGATAAGCTGGAGCACTGAAGCACATGAGGGTGACTTACAAAAAAAAAAACACAAAAAAAACACTGATAAATTGAAAAAAAAGAAAGTCTGGCTCTGAAACTGGAGCTTCTAGTTTTAATGGGTGCCTGGCATGACTCATGTTGTGGTCCGGTCCTTCAGCACTACATCTAATGGCTTCGACAATGAGGCTCTTTATACGGACGTCCTGCCACGTAAGTTACCCCGGGGCAGTACCATGGCGTCCCGCGAGCTAACGCGAGCTGGTCCGGCGACGGACGTCGTTCCCCCCGGCCGCTACAGCCGGAAACAGGACCAACAGCAAGCCGCCCAGGCGCCGGACAGCGGCGGCGCGGCTCCCCGCATGCGGACCGCTGAACTCGGATGCTGATTGCATCACTGGAAGTTCACGGACAGTCCCGAGCATAAAAGTCACCAGCGAGTTTAGGAATATTTTTTTCATATCGCCACAAAAAATAAATAAAAAAAATGGAGCGTTCGTCCGTAAAACTGAGGGACTGGTGCAGACGAGGATGCTCCATCCTCCAGCGGTGCCCGCTAAATGTCCTAGCAGCGGCGAAGTCGAGAGCAGGAGACTCTCGCTTCGCTGGCAAAGCGTTAGCAGAACTAGCCCAGCTGCTTTTAGCTAAATGGAAACAACAACAAAATAAGTGACTAAACTCGTGCGTATTTCTTTGACAACCAAAGCGGCATCCCTGCAGATACACCAAGTCTATTTCGACGTGAACAACAACACCAACAACACCGTCAGTTTGAGGAACTGTTTAACTTTTTAGCCGTCTTTCCTCTCGGGCTAGCGGTCTCGCTAAGTTACTAAAGCTAGCTTAGCCCGCTAGCTACCGTTAGCTGTCAAATGACAGCTTGACAGCGCCGCGCGCTAAGTCCAGGTTACAACGCAGCCTTCTGTTTTACGTCAAAACGACGGAGGAATCTGTTCCGTGGATCTTACCCGACTTCATCTCCGACTAAGTTATTGTTCATTTCTGAGCCTGTAACGGGGGGGAGTATGGGAGCTGCGACCGGCTTCTTACTTCAGTGCTGCTCCTCAGACTGAGAGCGGAGGAAGGTCACTCCGCTTTTTGGTTCAAACTGTTCTGCGCAATGACGACGCTGCAGGGGGCAGCGGCCATTAAAGGAACATTACACCCAAACGGCCCACACTCCCTCCCCGTTATTTCCATCATCTTCAGAGTGGGTTGTAACGGATTTTATGTAATATGGATTACATAATCAAACTGCACAAAATAAGTGACGATGTCCATCCCATTGCGATTGGAAACATGTAATGACATTATTGTTTTTGACTGCTGTTTTAAGACATGATGGAAGCATGTTTGGATATCAGCCGTTTGTCTTTGGTCATTTCACCATTTTACATTTTATGTTACATATTACATATTATTACACACACCTACATGTATGTTATATGTATACATGTTGTAAGTATTCTGCATCTCCAAGAAAATGACACCGCTCATTGGTTGGTAATAGAGAATAAACAGATAGCCTCTGTTATTGAATGAATTAGTTTCTTGTTTAATTCCGGTCACGCTAAAAATGGAAGATGAGAAAACCAAATCATTCTTTTGATTTAGCCTTTAATCAAACCAATAAAATGTCCGTTCTCTTTTTTTTTTCTTGGGAATGGCCCAATATTTTTATAGTGTGATTATTAAATAGGGTTATGGTTAAAATCGAATATATTATTGAAATAATATGGATTATTATTTGCCTAGAAAACGGATGAGCATCCTGAAGTCCAAATTAAAGCAACTTTTTTGTCTACAGGTAACCCCTGAAGCAAAGATTTATATGTAAATGTGGTCATTACCTTCAACTATTCATGTGAAAAGTAGTGACAGTATTTGTGTGCAAGCAGTGAATATATTTTCCATCACAAAACAGATCTTTGTTCACTTCTTTCCATCAGAGAGTAAAGCTAAAGGACCACTATAACCGGAGCAGCCAGTGGAAGATTAAACCAATCTCTGGGCGGCAGCAAAACACTATAACATGCAGATACGCGTTTGCAAAGCCCCAATGGAGAGTTTACACAAGCATGTCGAAAGCATTAGTCTTTCAAAACAATAATGGATCAGACTGTTTTGCGCCAAGCACTGTCAAAGAATCGTATATCAGTTAAAGATATGTATTTCTCAAGGCAAAAGTCTAAAAAACCTTGGTCTTTCAACATCGACAGAGCATATCATTGTGAGAAGACACAAAGTGTCTGGGGATATCTCAGTTAAAACTGACTGAAGCAGCAAAACACACGAATGTCCTGCCAACATGATCATTTTGGCCATAACGGTTTTAAAAGGAAGCTGAAAAACCCCTTTAACTCAACACAATCCACATCTCCATTCAGATATGGGACCTTAAACCTTCTGCAAAGAATGAGTCTTGTATGATCTATGCTTGAAACCAAAATTAATAGAAAGTATTATTAAAAAATGGGATGGTTGAACACAACCTTAAACACGCTTGTTATATTTTTTTTAATTAGATTCTGAGTGAAGACAAATAATATTTTTCTTTTTCCTTGAGTTTGTTACAGAAAGGTTTGAAGTAATTAACAAATTAGAAATGCAAGTTTTTGTTGCAGGTTTGAAGTCTTCGTAGCACCAGTGAAAATTGGTTTCAGAAAGTAATGCTTTGAGATACAATCTAGTTTTCACATTGTCTTCGGTTATCTGCAGTAAACCCGCTGTATTTTTCCACTTTTGAAATTCCAAAACATAATTTCGGAGTTTAGGCACACACACATCCTGAAAACTCATTCAAGTCTAATCAGATTTATGTGTTCTGCCTGCTCAGAAGACAAAAAACAATGTCTTAAGGAAGACTAAATTGAATCTAAAGCATCATCTGTTGTTTAATTTATGTAAACTGGAGCATCGTGATTCATACTTGTTCGTTCTCCTTTCACGCCAATGAACAGTGTGTCATTTAAAGTCAAACGCGCAGCTTGGAACAAATTAAACAAGGAAAGTAGAAATAAATGGATGTATCTTGTGGCAATATCCCCTGAGCTTTCATTAAGCTCCCAGTGGGAATCTTAAAAGTCAGAAAGAGAGCCGCTTCCTCCCTCAGCACAGAGCACGTCCCTGGAAGATGCTCTTGTTTCTCGTTATCTCTTCCACATCATGTATGGAGGACAAATTGAGGTCGCGCATCAGTATGTCAAGATTTATAACACACTGTCCACTGGGACTGAAGCCCATTTATTTCAAATCGCAACGCATGTGAGCACAACAGCTTGATCTTGTTTTGTTCATAAAGACTCTGAGAGGAACAGGAGGGGCTGGAAGGTCATTGTACACCCTGTCAACACCATTAGTTGTTAGAGTTCAATCAGAAGAATAATTGGCGAGTTGCCGGATATAAATTTGGTCAGAGTCAGATTTCATGGCACTACAGTGGGGGAAATAAGTATTTGACCCCTTGCTGATTTTGCAGGTTTGCCCACTTACAAAGAATGCTTATTTTTCCTCATCAGATGGTTATCAATTTTGATAAATTTATATGATGTGATTTTCTGGAATTTTCTTTGGGATTCTGTCTTTCACTGCTAGAATGTAAATATGATTAAAATAATAGATCGTTGCATTCTTTGTAAGTGGGCAAACCTGCAAAATCAGCAAGGGGTCAAGTACTTATTTCCCCCACTGTATATTGTATTGCACCTCGGCAGCTTGTACACAGAGTCAGATTCTGTACTGATGGCCAGTCTACACCTGTTTGAGATGCTGTGGGAAGCCTGCTCACCCTCAGGCAAAGAGGCTGTTCGATACCTGTAACAGCACAGGGGAAAAAAAGGCTTTTTAGGTTTACTGGTTCAGCATGCCCTTCAGAGATTTTAGTTCATTTTTCCAATCTGAAAAATATCCATAAAAACTCAAAACTTATGGTAAATAAATCCAAAAATATGGTTCGTTAGATGGATAACTGTCATGGGGCTTTGAAAAAGGCAAAGCCAAAAAAGAAATATACTCAAATTCTTGGTCTATCTGAGATAAATCCCTGCTGGGACTTCTTCACGCTGATGTAAAGGGTTTGTTATCTTTCAATGTCTATAAGCCACATCGAAGACTGAACAGTAAATATTCCTGAAAACGACTTAAACTGGCATCATTTTAAAAGCTCCGAATCATTTTAAACCTTTTCTGGAACACAGTGTCACACATATTCGAATATATGACAAAACACGACAAGTTACGACATCTTCTGGAGCCAAATCTTGCCCGTCAGTCTCCCAATGCCCTCACCAGCCACATCCCAAAGCCCCACGAGAAGAGAATTCTTTCACGTGTCAGGATTCATTATTTTCCACATGAAGGCGAGCTTCGGTGGACGTAAGTGTCATGAAAGGCAGAGCAAACCAAGCGCCTCATGCAAGGGTGGTAGGTGGATGATGGCAGCGTGCAGCGTGCACATGAGGACCCTCACAAAGGAGCCAGCTCCACTTGGTTTCATCTAATGGGAGTGAAGTGGATGATTGGACGGTGGGACACGGGAGCTGAGGAGGTGATCAGGTGATCCACTTTTAAACTGTTAGTCTGTTGCATTACGCTGTGTTCAGCCACTGGAAAAATGTGGCACTAAGTGAGAGAGCATGGACAGTAAAGGCAGCTTTGAGGCACTGCTCTATATTCTGATTTATTCAGTAGAAGTTTCATGTCTGTTTCACTGTAATGGAATCTTTACTTGCAACATTTTTTCTTTCTGAGTTTTTTATAATCAAGTAAAAAGCTGTTTATTAATGTTAAAGCTGTTAATCAGTTTAATTATCTTCCTATATCAGGTATCAACTTGCTCAGAGTGTTCACACGTTATGCAACAGGAGCCAATGTCCAACTTGTGAGCAGAAGATAGGATGCAATGCAAACACACAAAGACTGAACATCACGAAGAGCTCTCACTCTGAGCTCCACAAAACTGCCCAGGAAAAACACTGTTAACTCCTGAGGAAGTTTTCCAAGAAGACAAGAACCTTTGAGGCTAGTGAATGTGGGCATGTGTCTTTTTCACATTAGGAAGAGGAATTTCTGAAGCCCCACAATCAAAATTCAGATAAATCAAATCAACAGTAAATATCCGTATCTATCTCTATCTATCATCATCAAATAAATCAGCTGTTTAACCCACCATGACATTTTTAAATGTTGAGTGCTTTTCATATGCTCTGAAGTTGATGATTCTCCAAATAGCGAGTTAGATTTCGCTGTCTACTGCAGATGAAAAGAAACCAACAAAAAACTCCTTCATGAAGACCATAAAAATTGGGCTGAAACACACAACCATTGCAGAGAAGTCACTTTGAGAAATGACTTCCAAATTCTTCCCCTTTTATGTTTCAATTTGTAAATAACAATATTGACAAAAAAACGTACGCACATTTAAAATACTTTTATTTAATCAAGGAAAGCAAAAAAGACACCAAAACCCAATCATACCAGCATGATTGTGTCTGATGTTTTGGATTTGTCTTTTCCGTTGTTAGGGAGTGGATTGCAGCCTAATACAACTTAGGAGAGATGTCAGATGGTCTTATGTTTGAACTGCCCTGTAAGTTTATTAAAAATTATTCTATATTTTTATCCTCACAGAGTTAAAGAATGCTATATCAAGCATATTGAGATTTTGAAAACAGTGAGCCATCTTCTTTTTACAGGATCTTTGGTGATCTCAGATCTTGGATGGAATGTGTTTGCGCCTTTGACAACTGGGTGCCCTCCTGCGGTGTCAGCACTTATGAGCCCGATATAAACCCCCGTCTCCTCACTCCTACCCTTCTCCTGGCTCTGCCCAAACGCCCGCCCCACAACAACATCCACACAAAATGACCTCCGCTCAGCCCATATTCTCCAAGGGAGAGGACTGCAAATCCTCCTGGCACGACGCGGGCGCCGGCTACAATGAGGCCGACACACACTTGGAGATCATGGGCAAGCCGGTGATGGAGCGATGGGAAACCCCGTACATGCATTCCCTCGCCACCGTGGCAGCCTCGAAAGGTAAAAAGATTGTGGAAAATCAAACGCTTTCGCCGGACATTGAACTAAGCAGCGGGCTGTCCGATAATGGAGTCAGGAGGCTGCCCCAGCTCTAAACAGGGTGAAAATATTTAGTAAAGAAACTGTGACAGGTGAATGCAACTTACTCTCATGGATTGTTTTTTTCTTATCATTATGAGTATTTTAATCATACATCAGCAAGTACAAAAAAAAATTAAAGTGGATGTAAACTCATTTTTACAACCTATGCATAAAATCTGTCTGATATGTTCAAATTAAAAGACAAAATCTGCAATATTATTTACTAAAGACATGAAATAAGACATTTCAAATGAAAAATTATGATTGTCATTCATTGCTTTACAGCAACAACTGTGCAGAAATCTTAAATGACCACCATAAAAGCGGTGTGCTTTTTGTTGCTGGCTTTCTTTTTACGCACATTTGCGCCTTATCTTTTCATTGGTGGCAACACGTGTGAGCGTGTGGCTCCACAGCAGCTGTTACTGTACTCCCAGGAAGGGGCCAAAGGATCTGCAGGGGAGGGGAGGGGGGTGGGGGGGGGGGGGACACCGCAGCTTATCTGCTTTTAGCTTTATATGAAAATAGACTGACCCACTCCCACTCACAGGAAACGGGCCCGAGCTCTCCAGCAGGCTGCGGTTTCCTTGCCTCTGAGCGTCATGGAGTGGGAGGTGAACGCCGACTGTCTCTCCGCGTTCGCACGCCACATACTGCCGCTTGTCACGGCGGCTTGTCGGCCCTTTTGTTTATTTACGTGTGAAAGATGAGCACACGTCGTGGACGTTTCACCTGTCTGTGTGTCCCGTTCCCCGAGGATTATTTCGCAACCCCTGAGAGACTCAGGAAATCATTCCGAGTGGGTCAAGCTGTAACTAATAACCTTTGACCCTCTACTATTTATATGCAACTGTAAAACGACCTTTTCCCAGCCAGGAGGAGCTGCGACAGCCTCCTCGCTTCGCCCCTCTGCACCTGACGGGTAGAGGAGGCTTCAGTCAGGGCATCGAAATGGCCGAAGGGTCTCGGTGGCATCAGGGAAAACTCTGAACAGAGCAATGGAGTGATTTAACTGTGGTAATGAGGCCAAAACAAACGGTGGAGGTGAGACTGGAGGGATGCAGACCAGATAATGTTGCTGCTGCATTTGGTGCTCCAGTCTTGAAGGCGTCACATGATTTTAAATGTGCCCACGCTGAGCCGTTTTCATTTCCCGCCCGGTCTGGTTCTCGTCCCGCAGGTGGCCGGGTCCTGGAGATCGGTTTCGGCATGGCCATCGCCGCCACCAAAGTGGAGTCCTTCCCCATCCAGGAGCACTGGATCGTGGAGTGCAACGACGGGGTCTTCGCCCGGCTGGAGAACTGGGCCAAGGCTCAGCCGCACAAGGTCAGTGTGGCCCGGTCCAGACCAGGGCCTCATTTCCACTGAAGACTGTCGTTGCTGCTGTGTAAAAGCGAGGTGCTGAGTGATGTTGCCGCTGCAGGTTGTCCCTCTGAAGGGCCTCTGGGAGGACGTCGTTCCCACCCTGCCAGACAACCACTTTGATGGTAAGAAATCAAACCGGGCGTGGGCGAGCTTCCATCGCACGCGGGGGATGTTCGGCTCGCTGTATTAAACCCAGTCCTGGGCGGACGTTTTTACGGAGAGCCACATTTAAAAGAATGCACCCGTGCAACCTTTCATCGACGGCGTGTTGACACATAGACTCAGGTTGAGGAAAGGACACCCGGACTTTAAATATTAACGCCGCGGCAAACCGCGCCGATGTTCCGTCCATTACAGTCGAGCTCAGGCATCAGGCCGGTGAATCCTGAGCCCTCTTCCAGACGCTCGCAGGACAAACAATTAGACACAGGCTAATGCGTTAGCGTCTGAGTGTCTAACGCTGCGTTCCTCCTCTGCCAGGCATCCTGTACGACACGTATCCTCTGTCAGAGGAGACATGGCACACTCACCAGTTCGACTTCATCAAGGTAAGAGTTTACAAAGCACAGGTATAACGGCGTCGTTACACTCGGTAGACGCACAAGGGTTTCCAAAAAGGAGCCCTGCTCTGAAAGAGTTTCCGACACGTCGGTTTCATGGTGTGTGTGTGTGTGTGTGTGTGTGTGTGTGTGTGTTTTTGGTCTGCAGGGTCATGCTCACAGGCTGCTGAAACCCGGCGGCATCCTCACTTACTGCAACCTGACCTCCTGGGGCGAGTTGCTCAAAAACAAATACGCCAACATTGAGAAGATGTTTGAGGTTGGTTTCACTTTTTTTTTTTGATCCGCTCAGCATCAAAACACCCCAAAAACACCCCCCCCCCAGAGAATGCCTGAATCACATTTTTACACAGAAAACACTGTTTTTTTTTATTAAACACAGAAGAAAAGGACTAAAGGGGAAGGGTTTCTTAACTATTTGACTAAATACTGACACTGCGGCGGCTTGAAAACGAATGTTAGTGCAGCTCTAATCGAATGCGAGCTATCAACACGTGTCCTCTGAGAGATACATTTAATTTCATTCCTTCTGCCCATAATGCGGTGGGGATTTGAACGTGGTACTTGTCACGCATGCCGCGGAGCAGCGAGCGCCTCTGTGGCGTTGAGGTCACTGATAAACGGGATCCGAGTCCCGCTCACAGGCTCTCTCTCTGTTAATGCTTTCCAGGAGACCCAGGTGCCTCATTTGCTTCAAGCCGGCTTCAAGAAGGAGAAGATCACCACCACCACCATGGACATTGAGCCGCCAAGTGAATGCAAATACTACTCCTTCAAGAAGATGATCACTCCCACCATCGTGAAGGAATAAAGTCAGAGGAGAAACCTTTTCTACGCCCACGAACCGTCTGCCCCGAAGCTCATTCTGTGTATTTGAATAAAACCACTCCTCCCTGACTCAGTTCACGGCTTGCACCATCTCTCGATGTGTTACGGTAAACCAAAAAAAAATAAACCACGAGAATCCAGCTGACCGAAACCAGCAGAAAAGGCTTTTCTATCTCACTGAGGCTCCCGTGTCTCGGGTCTTACATCATCCAGCGTCCCTCCTGCCACAAATAGCCCAGTTCTACACCAAGCAGCAAATATATCACAGCTGGTTTAAAACGCCTGCTTTGTTATAACCTTTTAAAAAAAAAAAAACAAAGAGGAAAAGAGTCTGAGACGTTCATGAGTTTGCAGAATCGTGCTGTTTATGTAAAAGCGGACAGTAAAATGCTAACTCAGTACAAACAGTCGGAGCAGAGCTGTTATACAAATGAAAGAGAGCTGTGGGACAAATGGTGGTGGTGGATAAGAGAAATATAATGATACTGTCTTTGCTGGCTATTTGAATAATGATAGTTATTTGAATTGCAGACTTTCTAAAGTGTTATTTGTAAGTATGCAAACGGGGTCCAATCTGGCTAAACAAGGTCATTTTTGGACATTAAAATGCAAAAATGGTTCAAATGCTGCCATGTGAGGTGTTTGCTAAAGGTGTAAAATTCCCCTTGAAAGTTCGAGTTCTCATAAACTGATTTATCAAATGCAGATCATTTCCAACATTTTCTGCCCAAAGTTTCAATGAAGAGTACTTACAAAACATTAGTCAAAACTGATCTGTGCAAATTAATCTTGAGTACATCCACATACCTTTTCATTAAAAATCTTTGGCCTTTTTATTGTTAAATTGGTTTATATAACGTTTGTATGCACACATAAACACTTTTTAAAGTTATATTTATTTGTACTGGACAATTTCTTATTAAAAAATGTATTCTAATGCACAAAAAGAAAATGAAAAAAGAAGTTAATTAATAAAGGCCAAAAATTATGTGCCAATGACACTGTGATATTAAATAAAGCCAGAAGGACAGAAACAACCATATTTGTCTGAGAGTAAAAACCTTTTTTTTTTTTTTTACTTCTTCTCTGGACAATGAGGTGTTGCACACCTTTGAAACCATTCTGGCTCTTTCCATGTTTAAATTAGCTTGCACAAAAGATACATAACGCCGTTAAACACTTGGCTGGGATCCAGAGTGTTCCATACATGTCTCAATTTGCGGTTGATGATAACGTTGCGCGCTATCTGAACACGTGGGAATAAGTTACCAGCTGGCGAGCACACATTAATCATTGGGTGGATGATGCAACACCAGGCGGGTCTCAGGTGGGAATCCACGGCAGCTGGCACAGCTCACATCTGAATCAGGACTTTTAGAAGTTACCTGGCATTTTCAGTTAAATAAATCCAGAGAAGCAAAAGCAAAAAAATCCATTCTCTCTGCTCAGCTTCACAAAAAAGGCAAAACTATCTCTCTTTTTTTCAACAGTTTGAGGTTTTTCTCACAGCGCATTGGAAAATTCTAGCAATGAAAGCAATGAAGCACTGAAAGCAGTCTTTACCTGAAAGCCAACATGGCCCCGATGCTGGTTACTAAGCGTGAGGCAAATAACAGATCAGTCCTGAAGCATGCATTCACACCGTACACAAGAATTGTGTTTGATTGTGTACCAAAACCTACAGAAGGGGCTTTGCTTCTATAAGTGTAGATCTTAATCTAAATTCCAGCTGTTTCAGGTCCATCCATGTTGTTAATTCTCCTGCTCGGCTATTTTGACCCATCACCAACACATTCCTGTTTTTGAGAGCAACTCATTTCTTATGCCATGCCATTAGATGTTTTAAAGGCAGTTTGTACTATTTAATGTGTAATAAGTATAACTTGAGGCACACGTTTAAAAGTATTTCACTCTTTAACCTTTTTTGATTTTTAATTTCACACTTTTACAATAACATTTCACCCCAAATGTCGGTGAAAAAAGCATTGATTCTGGTTGTTATTACTCCAAAGAAATAGGAAAAGGATGGGGAAAGATATATTCTTTTCCCTTTTTAAAAAAAAAGTGTACAAGGTAAAGGGTTAACTGCCGCTTACACTGTCAGGGCATATCGTCCACACATTCTTTGCAGGATTTGTCCTGGATGTGTAGAACAAATCCGGTATGGTGGTAATCAGTAAATAGTTCTTGTATGAAAAACAACGTGGAAAACGTGCTTTAACCATCTGAGGTCAAAGGTCACCATATGCACTGAGCAGCCGTCACAGCTGCATGAGGTTTGAACAAATACGAGGACTTAAATGTGTGACTCACAAACTCTCCTTTAGCAAACAGGACTCAACCTGGCTGTTTATTCACAGTCACACACACTAAAAGAAAACAAGCCTGCAGGAATCATTGCTGCCGTTGACCATCGTTGACCATCATTACGTATGCAGAGAAGCAGCCCCGGCCGAATGTTCTAAACTTTAACGTGACATTTAACTTTGCACGTCTGCGCAGTGAAACCGCGTTTTGCTCGGAGCCACAGCCGAGCGTCCACGCTGAAGGTCAGCGCTGGTGATCACAGGAGAGCCACCTGGTGGCTACGCCCCTCTGAAGAGTCCCAAAAATGACCGCATGGGCAACAGGCAAGGATTTCCACAAAATGCCAGTTTATTGAAAAGCAAGATCCTGTGGTTTTGCACCTCACACTGCGAGGGTGGCTGGTCAAAGGTGTCGGCATAAATACATAATACAGCTTACTGAACACAGTTTAAACGAGTGAATTATGAAGAACAAAGCTGATATGGAGCAACCCTAAAACCTGAACCGAGTGACCTAGTCGGAGTCTGGTTGAAAATAAGCAGCGGTGTAGGAATCAAACTAAGGACTTTATTGAGGTTATTGCAGCTCTACATGGAGGAGGAGCAGTGCCCCAAAATGCAACCAGAAACACGACATTTACATAGCAGGTACACGCGGATATATATTACATTTTCACTTCCTATACCAGATCTTTAGCTTCTTCTCTCTCTTGATCTTCTTCTGCAGCTGCAAAGTCCCGTAAAGGAGAGCTTCTGCAGTGGGAGGACAACCTGAGGAGAGGGGGGAAAAAGAAAAAGGCAAAACGTTTAAAACACCACGTGAAAGTACAAGGTCTCTGATGACTGATTGGACAGATATGATACGCGATAACGGCTGCCATGTTCACTCTATATTTTGTGTATAATATAATAATGTATAATAATTTATAAGACATTTATTGGGGCGATAGGGGATATATTTGCCCCTTCATTCATAAAGAGTGACCGAAATGTGAGGAACACATCTGGGTCGTTCAGTATCTTGCATTAAGTTACTTGGACATAAAGAGTGAGAAAGCTGGGGATTGAACCAGCAACCTACAGAAACGCAGGCCAGAGACCGCTGCTGGGAAATAAATATTAGGCAACAACTGGTTCTGTGACTTCCACTCAATATGAGACAGATTGCACAACTGGAAGTCAAACTGACTGATGTGGACTGAGAAATAAATGATCGAAAAGATGCGCTCACGCCCCAAAACAAGTCGAATATCTTCCAAAATCATTGATGATTATCTGTTGCTGGACCAGACTCCTCTGTTCTGTGAAATCCAAAAAACTGCCCCTGCTTAGAAGCACTGATTGATGAGGTTGGGCAGCGAGACCTCAATCCGGTTTCATTTACTATAAAATATTTTATATCATCTCTGGTTAAACATGGCTATTTCTTTTCCCTAGACAACGGCAAAAAAAAAACATAGCTACAAGGATAATTCTATGGGGAATATTTCTTGAAAACTGGAAGAACTAAAACAAAAGATAAATAGGAAAAGAAACTATAGCCAAACTCCATTGGGCTGCAGTAGTCTTAGTTGTTTTTGTTTTTTTTATCTTATTGTTAAAAATGCTCAACAAAAGACAGCAAAAGCAATAAAAGAAACAGCAAAACGCAGTTTGAAGTTGACATGGAAAAAGAATGTCCGGAATAAAAAGACAACTCGACTGAAATAAGCAGTCACGGGAGAGTGTTCTTAAAAGACCTTTAATGAGGTCAGCGAGTCAGCTGACTGCTTTCCATGGGCAGATTGTTCCAGAGCCTCGGGGCCCTGTGTGCAGCCCTCTGTCCCCTTTAGTTCTCAGCCAGGCCCCTGGAACGCACAGAGGGCCCCCGCCCGAGGACCTCAGTGCACACGCTGTCAATAGAATCTGATGCGAAGGTGGGACAGATCCAGGAGATATTTCAAAGTGCCAAAAAAAGCTCGTCCCTCTCTTGTCTTCCAGAGTGAGAGCAGACAGGGTTAAGAAGTATGAGTGGGGGTTTTGTCAGCTGGCGCTGGTCATTAGATGTCACGGTTATCATGCTAACAGCCCTGAAGAGTTAGTCTGGAGATTGGTTGGCTTAGATGAGTCTCTTAGTGTGAACCTGCTTAAATTTGAATCCAAGAACAAGTTCCCTGAAATCCAGAAAAAGACACTAATCTCTCTCTTGACCAGAGCCGCAGTCATATGTTGATCTTCATACTTCTGCACACTTCCAATGCCACAAAACTAAAGCTGAGTTAAGGATGAAATGCGCGCATCCGTTAGCCCTTTCAGCCCATACCGAGTCTAAGCCGGGTACCGCTTCTGAATCAGCACTGGAGCTGTTTGTTTGGCTGGCGCACGGCCAGGGGAGCCTACCTGGAACGTAAATGTCCACCGGCACGATCCGGTCGCAGCCTCTGACAACGGCGTAGGAGTAGTGGTAGTACCCTCCTCCATTAGCACAGCTGGAAAACAGGACAAACCATTTAGCCCAGTGTTTCAGCTGAGTCTATGCATCGATAAGTACACGACTTAAAAAAACAACTTGACAAAGCAGTGGCACTGAGGTGTGAGGAGAAAGATTTCATTTGTTTGATCAATTGTTTCATTTGTTTGAGGAAACAGAGCTGAAATTTTTCACATTGAAACTTTAAAAACTCATAGCCAAAGATAGGTGCCCAAACATTTACAGCAAAAAAACACAATAATGAGAATACTATAGAGCATTTTAACAGTGAGCACATTTATACATTTGGGTAAGTATTGTCTTTTTTTTTTTAAATGTTAATTAAAAAAAAAAAAGAAAATTGCATCACATATTTGGTAGAAAAGGGAAAGAGTTGACTTACCTTCCCATTGAAATGACGTATCTGGGCTCGGGCATCTGGTCGTATACCTGTTGGATGGAAGGAGCCGTTCAGATGCTGTTATATAAAGTCTGACTCACAACTAATCTGTACATCCAGCTGGAGGAAGGCTTGGAGCCTGCCCGCCAATCCATTGGCACACTGCTCATAATCCAGCCAGCCTTTGTTCAGCTCCAGAGTTCCAATCCAGCCCTTCTGCACACAGACACCTCCAACCGGGAGCTCAGCCGGTGTGTCTGCCCCCTGACAAACTTACCCCAGCTCCATCCTCCGTTCCACAGAGCCCAGTCCAACCTGAAGCAGCCTTTACGTGGGACTGCTGCTCTGGCAACTGTCACCACGGCAGCAGCAGCAGACATAAAATAAAAAATAAAAAATCCCACCATCGGTGCCCCTGCCCTCACCTTGCGCAGAGCAGGAGCCATCTTATTGGTCAGCGTTCCTGCCACAATCATGACGTCGGACTGTCGGGGACTGGCTCTGAACACAACTCCAAAGCGGTCCATGTCGTAGCGGGGAGCCGCCATGTGCATCATCTCCACGGCGCAGCACGCCAGGCCGAAGGTCATGGGCCACAGGGAGCTCTGGGGGGGGGTCGCAGAGAGCGTGGATACTTATTACGTCCAGCAGGGAGAAGTTAAGCTGTGAGATCACTGCCAGCCATTCAGTGACACTAATTATTTTTCAAGGTTTTTTTGTTCCAAATTTAGACACCATTACACTTGTGGATGTAATCACAACATTCTGCGTGTTCCAAAGAGCCCACAGGCTGACGGACACCTACCCTGCGGGCCCAGTTAACCAGGTCGTCCAGCTTGGTGACGACATACTCCCCCTTACTGCTGGCTACAGCCGAGGGTTTGGCTGCTGCTGCCACCGCCGTGCTCCTCTCCCTGACCGGCACCACGCTGTAACGGAAGAGGTGGGCTGCTTCACCACGTCACCAGCATTTGTGAGGATGCGCTATGATTTGTGACAGCGGCGTTCCCGAAGACTGACCTTTGGCTGGTGTTGTCATTTTTAGCGCTGCTGTGCACGCTCTTCTGCTGCAAAGCAAAAACTGAAATGGGCCTGAGAGACACACAAAACAGAGAGGATAAGAGAGGGGCGACAGGAGGGGAAAAATCTAAAAGTGAGGTGCAAAATGGCATCAGATCAAAAGCAGGATCGCTTTGTTATACTGAGAAGGGAAGCCGATGATGTGGTGATGGTGCGTCTGATGGACAGATGGATGGATTTCTAAGAGAGGCAGACTGAGCCTCACAAAATTTGGGATGCTTTTAAAGCTTAAGTAGACAGTGCCTCTTAACAGCAGGCAAGTTGAGCACTCCTTCTGCCAAAATATATTAAACTGATCAAAAATAAATAAAGAAAAGAAAAAAGCTAATGTTTCAGCCTTTCCCTTTCAGTGGTATACGGTGCTTTAATGATGGATTATATAGTGAACAAACAATTACATTGAGTTTAATAAATTTGAAAAACAAAACCTTCCTTCATTGGTATACTATAGTTTAGCAGCTGTGTGTGTAACAAGCAGATCAGGGACACATCCGTTTCCAAACAGTTAAAAGGATTAGGATGTTCTCACCTCGTTGAAAATGAGCCAAATAAGGCCAGGCGAGGAGCTGCAAAATAAAGACATAAGAAAAAACTCAGAAAAACACAGATCGGGGAAATATGTTGAAAGAGTCTAACATCACAGCAGAAATTACAGAGTCAATTTATGCAACATTTTCAAAACAGAGGCGTGAAAGTATCCAATTAGGAGTACATAATGGAAATATCATAACAAACAAACAAACATGACAGTATGTGATTTGAAAAAACAACATGGATGTTGGAGGGTTTTATAGCTGTTACGATGTTCACATGCTGTTCAAAATCATTTAAAGCAATGTATATTAAATATAGAACATTCTATTTTTAATCACATTAGGTTGGACAGTAATCGTTGTAGATATATTTCTGACTTAACTGTGTTTTGTAAATTTTTTACTCCAATTCCATGAATCTCACTTATTTTCTTTTAGTTGGGTGAAACAGTCAATATCCCTGTACAGCTGCAACTATGATATGTTACCGAAATTCTTAGTATATTGCGGTCTTCAACAGTCCAAACATACGCCGATCTCTAAAGTATCCCTTAATAAGTCCCAAACAGTCTTGGCTGGTCTTATATGTGACCCTGTGATGGAAAAATGCCTGTGATAACTTTAAAATGCAAAGTTTTCCCGAAAAGTTTGGTTTCATAATCAGTGCATTTTTGTTGACGTATGTTGTATCATCTGTCAGGTTAAGTAAACCAGCAAAACAGACACAAAATAACACGGTGCCAACAACTATTTGGGTTATTTTGAAAATAATTATAGTTAAAGAATAAATAAAAATGTTGGTTTGATAGGCTGATTAAGTGTTAAGACTGTTAGCTAACCTGGCTAACTGTGTTCCTCGAGCAGACAGAGCAAGGTCAGCGTGCGCAATCGTTAAAAGTAACAAATAATACCACAAACACAGCCCAACCACTAACAAATGTGTTATTGTGCTGAACATTTTCTCTAATTCCAAAAAGGACATAAATCGAGACACTCAACAGTGTCAACTTAAAGAGCGAGTCTTTTTGAGTCAAAACATCACTTACCCACCAGCGCCGCCATCTTTCAGATTCTGGTTACATCAAACTGCCTCTTCCGGTGCGTGGACGAGCTCGAGCTGCTGAGGGCGCTGCTGCCACGTGACACCGTTTATTTAAATCAATTTAATAAAAATGTTTATTTTTCTATCACTATACTTTTAGCTGTAGTTAAATAAATATACGTCCATATACGGAAAAGATGGTCGATTTCAGTTCATCAAACGAAATGAAGCATTCTTTGTGATGACCAGCAGGTGGCGACGTGTGCGGGTCCATTACGTGACCGAAATCCAGGTTACAAGAGCATTTTCTCACAATAAGGAATGGCCTCATTTAAAAATTAATTAACAAATCATCAAAGTACTAATACAGCCCTGTTTAAACAACACAGATAACTGAGATTCAAAAAAGTCTTCAAAAATAACATTGCATGGCCTGACATTATTTTATATCTAAGAGGCGACCCGTTGATCATTTTTGTTTGTTTTCTTGATTTTTTGTATTTTTAGTGTGATTTGTTTTCTTTTTCATGTGTTATTTGTGACTTACTCATTACAGATACAGTGTTTGTGTGCTCACATATAATGATTAAGAGGTTTTCATGCTAAGTTAGTCGGATGATTCAGAAACAAGTCGTAATTCTGTCTTTTTAAGTTGGGAGTTTGTTTGACCCAGATTTGAGTTATTGCCTGGCCGTACTGTTTGACCTGCATTCGCAAGTGTTGCAACAACACAACATTTAAAATGACTCAAACAAAAGTCTCAGAAAAGCTGCCTTATTTTAGTGTTCCTCTTCTGTCTGTTCCCACGTTTCCTGTGAGTAACTTAAAAGGTCAGACACTGTAATATGTGGTTCGATCTTCAGTTGGGAGGTTGTGCTCAGATTAATATAAATCAAAGTTCTTGTTCTTTGTTTGTGTTTCTCGACAACACTCGTGTGAAGGAACAAAACTTAAACACTAGACACAAAATTGAGACGGGCACTGTGGACAGAAACCGACTGGATGGCCTCCAGAGAGGCACCAGGGGAACTGAAATTTTCCCGAGTTTTCTGCATATTTCATGGATCTACCAAATCTGTTCAAGTGGAATCAGAAGAAAATCAACCATAGTGAGCTACTCTGTGTCAAAACAAGTCTAAGGACCTTTGGTTTTGCTTACATTCAGCTTATTTAGTTCATAATAAAATTATGTCAGGTTTTATTTATTTTGTGCTTCAAGTAAATATCCCAGAAAATATACAAGTATTTTGAAGCTGTATTGCATAATTGTTTTCAACATGAATATATATATTTTCTATTTTTGAGAAAGCTCTCAGGCTGGCCTAAACATACAGTATGGAAAAACGCTGTAATGAAAGTCTTATTCCATCAAACATTGTTAGCTCATCCACAAAAGTTTCTGTTATACGTTATATAAAGATAAGACTGAACCATGGCTGAAATGTGTGTCATGGCTTAAGAGTTCTGCTTTAAATCTTGCAGAGCAGCATTTCAAGCAGGGACCTCAAACACCAATCCTCAGAGGCCACTGTCATTCAGGTCAATGATTTTTCCCTACTTCAAAAAGCTGATTGAAAGCATTACACCATTGGCAGACTTATGAAAAACTTTTGAAAAGATCTATTCAATCAGAATCTGAGTTTAAGGTCTCAGAAAGGTGCATGTAATCTGTGTGTTCTTTACAAAGCAAAAAAACAAAAAAACACACACACTCCTCAACTAGTTTGCATTTCAGAGGCATACAGCATGGAAATCAGAAGAGATGCTAAGCTGTGGGTGAAGCCAAATTAGAATATTAAAAAAGGCTCCAGTCCCCCACACTACTCAGAGAGCATGGAAGGAAAATAAAATTTTCCAAATTCCTGATTCAAACTCATTTTAAGGTCTGTTGTTGGAAGGAACTTCAGAAACATATTGATATAGTGGTAAATGTCAGTATTTTGGGATGATCCATGATCAAATTCGTGCCTAGAAAAAAAAAACGTACAAAACAAACATTTTTAGTTTCTGTGGCTGAATCAAAGCAGATGGAGCTGCAATGGAATTTTCCCCCTGAAATCTTATGAAATAGGAGTCATCTCCAGAGAAGACTTTGCATTCACAATAATAGCAGGAAATCTTCAAAACAGCGGCTGATCATCCCTGCGGTGAGATCGTGTAAACCCCCAGAATTTCACCCCGAATACACTTCAATTCTGGCAGCTTGTTTTTTTGCTTGTGCTCCGTCATGTGAAGCTGCAACAGGGCGTCACACTGAATGAGAACCGTTTCAGAGCAGAGGCAGCTGCTCCCGACTAGCCAGGCAAAGCAGGAAACTCTCCCATTCTACCAGAGCTGAACGAGCATGGGGGTACCGAGGATAGCAGAAGCTTTAATGTCAATCCTAAAAGAGTGAATAGAGGCAACTGGGTTTATTTTGGACCTAGAATACGCTCTGATTAAGATTTTCAGATGAGAGGTGAAATGTCTTTTGCTCTAGGGCCGGTTTGCCATATTCAAACTCTTAGGATTGCCATGACTTAGATGACTAAAAATATACATCAACATTTATGCCAAAGTTGTCAGTTGGGCATTCAGGCAAAACTTTCTAATTACACGTGGTACAGCATATTTAGGACATCCACTGACCTAAGGAAGGAATAGGAAATAAATCTCAGCCTTTGAGCTTCAAAAGCAGTGTTTTTAACGTTTTGTCTCTCCTTTGTAAATGAATTGTCTCTAATTAAAGACATCTCGATGGCTCATTCATCTCCCTTTGACCGAGAATTCAAAAGAGTCTAAATGCATCCTATTCTTTTTTTGGTTTTGGCCTTGCTTTGGTGCCACAAACCGACGGGTTCTTCAGCAGTGGTGAGCACGCCAGCAGGGTGGAGATGTAGAGCAACACTGACAGCATGTTATCACATAATGACAGTCCCGGGACTGAAAACGCACCGCTGTTCCTCTAGGAATAGCTGCCTAGAGAAGGCAAAGGCAGCGTCTGGTTAATGGAAAACCAACTGTAAAAGACAGATTAGATGTTTTTGTACAAACGGCTTTTATTTTGTCCTAATCATGTACAAAGATTTTGGAAAGTCAAAATAAAAAAAAGTTGATAGCTGGACCTGCTCTGTGTTTGTTTCTAGGGGTCAAACCAAATGGAGGCTTATATATATAGAAGAGCTTTTGAGTACATAGAGTTTAAAACTTTAAATATAGGCACTGGAATAGCTTAAAAGGGCAAATGTTTTAGAACTTCGCAACAGCATTGTTCAAAGGCATCCTCGGTCACTAGCAGGCAGACGTCTTGTGTTTCACATAATAAAAAAAAAACAAATCCACATAAAATGTAGGCTGTGCACAGGAGGAGCAGAGAACACAAGTTAAGCCGTCACAGTTTGGAGGTTATAGCGGCAGCGGGTGTAGCTGTGCTGAGGAGCAGACCACAGGAATGGCCTATTTTTGGAGAAATGGCCTCTTAGAGAAGAAAGCCGTCTTGCCTCCTCACTGAGCGTCCAGGATGTCTGGTTTGCCACTCGGGCTCTGTGATGTCTCCCTCGACCAGGAAGAGGGGGTGACCTGATTATAGAGGACATCCTGAGAGCCAAAAAGGGGCTCTTTGAGACTGAGCGTGTACATGAGGAACAGATTCAGAGCAACCATGGCGAGAAGCGGGAAGAGGGTCAGGCCCGAGCCGAAGCCCCGCCAGGAGCTGCACGTGTTCAGGCTGAGCCAGTAAACAAGCCTGTGGAGGATCGAAACACACCAGACACAAAATCAGACTCAGTTGGAACATAAATGACAAATAGTTACACTAGAATGCTTAATTTCTAAGTTTTCCTTTTTAAAAGGTGAATGGAAATGTCATGAATGTCGATAGGTGTTAACAGTAAGGCTGAAAAGGTTGTTGGAGTTTCCATTTTAATGTTCCATATCGCCGGTCACATCAAATTTAATGTCTTTAAGAAATAAGAGTGTATTTATGGGTGTCTAAACTATCTCAGCAGTGCTCCACGGAAAAAAACAGTCAGTATTTCCTCATAGAAATGGAGAGATAGTGACAGGAAGCAGTAATGTCTAATGTTATTCACTGAGTTTATCCATATTATTGTTTTTTTGTTGCTTTTTATATTTGCCAGGAGCGGGTAAACATAAAAAAACACCACAGAAAGAAACAACAGGTGGTCACATGTTTAGCAGGCCACCTTTCACTGAGACTCATGTAGAGTCGCAGAAAATCCACCAAATGCACTTCATTAATCAGTCGGTATGTGTGAGTATTGTTATAAAAGCCACATTTCTGCAGTTTGCTCGGGAGCATCCAGGTGTGCGTTAACACGAAATCAAGGAAAGAGGGCATCGGCCATGATGGGAGAAGCTACCGCTGCCGCACATCGCTCTGGGACGGGTTATTAGGCAATTTCCAAATCATTTGGAGTCCATCATTCAGCATAGAAAAAGATTATTCACATGTGGAAAACATTTGTCCTAGTTGCCAATTTTCCAGACGTGAACATCCGAGCGAGTTCGCCTCTAAGTCAGAGAGTGCAATGCTCAGAAAACAGAAAAAGAACAAATAAAACACACCAAAAAAGAGTTAGCACGTTAAATGTTGAAGTCTACAACAGTGCAATTAGAAAGGGCCTAAAACCGGTAGGGTTTGTCTCAAAGTGTTCGATCAGAAAGCTTCCTTTCTCTCAGTTTAGGCTTGTTTTGTAGCCACGGGACCTGGAGTCCCTTCAGTCCTTCAGCCCAACGTTAACTCCTCTGTATACCAAAGGATTCCAGAGTCAGAAGTGAGGCTTTCATCTGAAACTGGTTCATAAAACAGGAGAAATGTGCTCCACGAGGCAACTCTGAGAGTTTCTTTCATTTAACTCAAAGATTTCTGTTTCAGGGTTTTTGCAAGTAGGGCCATTTTCAAAATAGTCTAATTTAATGAGCTCTGTGGATGTTAAACTGCCGTTTTTTCCCCCCAACTTTTGAGCCTCACCTCCCAAAGATGAACATGGCGGCCACGATGGGCACCAGCTTCAGCTGGTCTTGAGGCAGCAGAGCGGCCATGACGGTGAGGTTGAGGACGTAAAGAAGTAACTGCTGTGAGGACGCGGAGACAAACAGCTGCTGAAGCGTCTGCCTTCTGGGAAACGGCTCCAGCAGACTCAGCGAGCCGGAGCAGAACTGGCACGCCGCACCTGTGAGCATAGCTGCAAAAGAGCGAGACGTCAGTTGGCGTATTAAATCTAGGCCATTTTCTCCACAAACGGCTCTCGGCAAACCTGTCTGACAGCCTCTTCTGTTTTACATTTGAATACGGCATCTAAAAAGGCCAACATGCAAATCCACTCTCCACCCTCGTTTCTCTGATAAATAGACGAGAGGGAGCTCATCTGGACTGGATTTGATTTGGACGCTTCTGTCACCTGTCCTCTCGTCACCCAGGCTTGGAAGTAATTAAACCGACTGAGACAATTAGGCCACGGCCTGGGAGACACAAGAGCAGCCAGGCTCTTATTGTAGTTTCCATTTACAGCTATGTGAGGGAGAGAGGGAAACTCTGCTTCTTTTTTCCAGAGGCCTTGGGGGAGATTTCTGCTACACTGAGGTCAAAAGCGCATGAAATTAAAGAGGACGCCGAAGCATTCCGAGACGAGGCGGCCAGACAAACCGAATCCGCTCTTAATCTCCGCCTCTCATCGGAGCCTGCGTTTGCGAGGGGGGGGGGCAGGTGTTTCGGAGGGGCGTACCGAGCAGGATGGGCAGAGCGGCCGCCGCGCAGCAGCAGAGGGCCAGCAGGACGCGGCAGCCCCCGTCGGAGCAGTCGGGGGGTCTGATGGGGACGTGGAAATAGAGCGCGTAGAGGATCCCGGCCGCGCACAGGAGAGAAGCCAGGACGGAGAAGAAAGCCGGGGCCCGGCCGCTCTGGCAGCATCTACACCTGCAGCAGCAGCGGGGGCGTGGAGCCCCGTCCGAAACCTCCTCCCCGCAAGTCTCTCCCCCCGGGCCTTCAGTCCACACGGCCAGCTCCACGCTCTCCGGCCGCGGGCCAATCAGAGGCCGGCCCTCGTTCACCGTGCCCCCCAGGTCGGTGGACCCCGGGCTCCATCTCGGCGTGTCCGTGCCGTTGGGAATGTCTCCCCGAGAGGCCGGCGTGGGAGAAGCCACGCGGTTTTCCACGGCGCCGTCCAACCCGTGCGCCGCGGCGAGGGGACGGGAAAGAGTCGGATCCAGATCCCCCTCTGCGGTCCGATCCGGGCCGGGCCCTCCGGGGAGGCTGACGTTTGGCTGCCGATGGCGAGGAGCAGAGCCTGTTCGGATCAGAACGCATTTTAATCCACAGTCCAAAAGCAGACGATAAAAAAGAAATCCTCTGCAGACTAACATTAATCAATCATTCACTTCCTTTGGGTCCAGGGTACAAAGAGGGGCCAAGAGTCTCATCTAAAGGGCCAGAAAAAAGAAGCACAGGCTTCTTACAGCATTAATCTGTTGACTTCTGTGCTTAGACTCTCGATCAAGTAATAATCCACAGTTATGGTACCCATAAAATGTACATTTCCTCCTGGCAAAATGAAAATTCATAAAAATGTAATGTTCCTCCTGTGTGAGGAAGCCAAATAATATTAATTGAATTAGTATTGACTTAATTTTGGTCCCTTTAAATGGGTTTTATGGAGAGAAAGTTTTGTTCTGGAAGCACTTTTTTATCCACAAACTGTGCTTCAAGTATTTAGCTTAAAATTAATTGAGAAATAAGTTGAAAACCTATAGTTTAAAGACTGAGAGGCAGATTTTTAAAAACAAATCAACATTTCTTAATCCTTACAGATGCTGCGAGGAATATTTCTGCAGTGGAAAGTTACAGGCATTCAAGCACTTCACATCGCACATGGTGTGCTCCACAAGAAGAGCTCCAAGGAGGAAAAAAAAAAACATAATTTGCCTTCTAGAAAAAAAAATGACCCAAGCTCTTATGATCTTTGCTGGCATGGTGGCGGAAAAGTTATCAGATTTATATGGAACAAATAAGGCTCATTTCCTCTGGCCCTATTGTTGTTTTAGTCTTTTTTTTTAGTCAGAAGGACTCATTGCAAATAGTCTTTGGAACATTTTATTGACAGCACACTACGTCCCGATTTTAGATAGATAGATAGATAGATAGATAGATAGATAGATAGATAGATAG